TGTTCTTGCGGTCCAAAATTATTCAACGAAATACATCCTTATATACATTATTCCTTTTAGTGTACTGCAGTTTGCTGCATTCCTAGCCCTTTGACGAAACCAGAATGCTAGGTAATAATTGGGGAAAACAACTCAGTAGCTAAATTAGTCTTTCTCCTTCCATTAGAGGAAAGGGTTCTTCAATGGTACAGTGACCCCCTTCTCCGCCAGCTGACACAGCTAGCAGAATGTCATGAAAATTTGCCAGTCAAGGGACAATTTCACTTACCTTCCTAAAAAAAATTAAAAATTTTCCTGAATCAACTCCTGCTGGTGAGAGGGACATGAGACACGCTTTCGAGTTACACAGAGCTCTTCTTCAGTTCTGGGAAAGGTACTCAATGTCCAATCTCGCTTGTTTTCTGTAATATGAATGACCTAGTCATCAGCAGAACCCTATTTGAACATCGTGAAATTCACAAGCTGACATTGTGTTCTCCAAATGGCAGAGATAAGAACCAGATTGACCATATCATGATCAATGGGAAATGGCGACGCTCATTGACAGATGTGAAAGTGAGGAGGGGTGCAGATGTTGGCAGCAACCACCACCTTGTGACAGCCTCCATCAAGCTAAAACTGAGATGTGTGGGTCCACCAAACAAGGGACATAGACGTTATGATATTGACAAGCTAAAGTCCCTTTGAAATGCAGAAAGCCTTCGTTCTGCAGTTAAAGAACAGGTTTCAAGCACTTGCAGACCTTGATGAAGAGGAGGGGAATGCAGATGAGGAGATCAACAAGAAGTGGGACAAAGTAACAGCAATTTATAAACAGAGCAGTGAAGCCTGTCTAGGCTACAGGCAGAAGAGAAGGAAGGAGTGGATTACACCCAGCACATGGAACGCCATGGAAACCAGACGAGCCCGGAAGAAAAAAGTTTTAGACATAAAATCCTAGAAGCTAAAGGACAAATACCACGAGCAGTTCAGCAAGGCACACCCGGAGGTCAAACGCCTTGTGAGAGTGGACAAACGGCATTATATTGATAATCTGGCAACACCAGAAGAGGATGCAGTTGCTTGTCGTGAACAAGGAACCTTCTACAAAATGACGCGGCTTATCAGTGGTAACCGGCAGACATGAACAAACACTCTCATCAGGAACAAACAAGGACACCTACTAACAACCGAAAAAGAACAAGAAATGTGCTGGACAGAGCATTTCAAAGAATTGTCGAACAGGGAGCCACCTAAAAAGGAAGCAAACATCCAGCAGGCAGAAGAAGATCTTGATATCAACACAAACACCCCAACTAAGGAAGAGATCATTCAAGCCATCAGATCCTTAAAAATTGGAAAGCTCCTGGCAAGGATAACTTGAATGCAGAATTGTTCAAGGTAAATCCTACATTAGCAACCTCTGTCCTGGCCCCTCAATTTACATCAGTCTGGGAAAGGGAAAAAAGTGCCAGATGTGTGGACCAATGGGGTTATAGTGAAGATACCAAAGAGAGGAATTCTCAGAGATTGTAATTGGTGTGGTATCACACTTTTTTCTGTGATAAGCAAAGTAAGGTCATAGTCCAGCGTATATCAGACACAGTTGATAGCGTTCTCAGAAAAGAGCAAGCTTGTTTTTGGAAAGCGCATGGATGCACAGATCAGATCTTTTTTCTTTATGGAACATAATAGAACAGTGCTTAGAATGGCGACGGCAACTCTACATAAATTTCATAGATGATGAGAAGGCTTTTCATAGCATTCAACAGGACCAGCCTATGGTACATTCTGTGAGCATACGGAATTCTTTTCCGTATAATCATCATCAAAAGCTTCTATTTCAGCTTTACCTGTAGTGTTGATCATGGTGAGCTCAGTTTTGAAGTCAAAACAGGAGTACGTCAGGGGTGTGTCATGTCCGCAGTCCTCTTCAACATTGTATTGACTGGTGGCGTACAACAGAAGACATGCCAACAGGCATTAAATGGGCACTCTTCTCATCCCTTGAAGACCTGGACTTTGCAGATGATGTCGCTCTCCTATCATACTCAACACCCTATAGAAGGAAAAACAACTGGACTCAATGCATTCAGCAAGCAAGTTGAACCGGAAATCAACCACAATAAGACAGAGATCATGACCTTTAATATTGCCTCACCATCACCAGTATGGATAGAGGATTATGTTCTCACCAGTGTAGAAACATTCACATACTTGGGCAGCACCATCAGCCAGGACGGTGGAACAAGCCAGGACATCCGGAACAAAATCAATAAAGCCTTCAAGAGCTTAAATACAGTCTGGAAATCATCAAAATACAACACCAAAACCAAACTCAAGATTTATCAGAGCAGCGTACTTTCTCATTCCTCAGCATTCTGCACTATAAACTAGTGTTGAAAGTATGACATGTCCAAATTGTCTTAATTTCATAAACCTGCCTCAGAAAAATCCTCCATATTATTTGGCCCAGATCAATCTCAAACCAAGATCTGTTGACACAGTGCAGCCAAGAGGATCTGAGCGCCATCATTGCCAGGAGGCGCTGGAGATGGATTGGCCATGTGCTTTGAATGGAAACTGATTCCATCGCCAGAGTAGCAATAAGATGGACACCTGAAGACAAGCGAAAATGAGGCTGCCTGAAAACAACCTGGCGAAGAGCTGTGGAAGCCAAGCTGAAAAAACTGGGACACAGCTGGGGAACCATTGAAAGACTTGCCAGAAACAGACAGGAGTGGAGGAGCTTCATCGCTTCCCTAAACGCCACAGGCGTAATAGGATGATGATGATGACCTTTGCCATACCTAAAGAAGAGCTCTGTGTAGCTCGAAAGTTGTGTCTCTCACCAACAGAAGTTGGTCCAATAGAAGATATTACCTCACCTACCTTGTCTCTATAACATGCTGGGACCGACATGGCTACAACTCTGCATGTAAGGATTTTACTAACTTTAAAGTACTCTGCATAAAAGAATTGTTTAATTTGCTGAAAGGAACATCTTTTTTACAAAAAGAGAAATCTTATCGAGGTTGCTGTACAGGGAAAGGGTGTCTTTAAAGCTACCACATACACAGAATTCACACTCTTGTGTCTCATGCCTTCTGTCATACAGAGAAGCCCCATAGGTCTTGAGACTTTTGGACCTTTGATGCACCAGCTGGGTTGAGGGCTCTGTTGTACTGAGCATGCTTCAGCCTTAGGGGCTCCAGAACTTTCCAGCTCGTTCCTTTATGACAACAGTTGGGAAGTGGTTCCAGTCCTGTCACAGCTCCAGCTTTGCTGGTACAACAAATTCTTCTGTGGAAAGAAAACTTTGATGAAATACATGCACTTACTTTAGTGGTCCTCACTGTATTTGTGATGCAGAGGCTATTAGTTTGCAACCACTGAGGAAAAAATGGGTGAACTTGTGTCTAAATTTTTGAGTACATTTTTCAGAACTTAGTTTCGCTAATGCATATGGCAGGCACCATAACTTTCATATTTGCATGTTTCCTAATGGACCAAATACTCTAATTCTTAAATGTCTGTTTAGCTAGACGTGCCTGTCAACAGATGAAGTTGGCTTGCGTTTACGTGAGAAAATTGTAAAGAACAGTTTCTCTAGCATCTAAATCGTTTTGAGACAGCACTCCAAACCGATATCCTTCAGGATAGGGAATGTGGCTTTTTGTGTTAATTGCAGTGTAAACTTATGACAGTATGTAAATGGCTTTTGTGTACCCACCATTACCACTTTGTGCTTGCATTTAAAGGTTACCTATAATATAAAATCTTTATTGGAGTTGTGTGACCAGAAGTAGTAAACATCCCTACAGAAAATGAGTCTGGAGCACTACTTTTTGTTGTTGTTTTTTCTTTGGAAAGAGTACTAGGAAAGCTTGTTCCTCCCAGGATGCAGCGCGAGCCAGTCAGTGCTCCCCGCTGCTGAATATTTTTGTGGGACGGTTGAGTACAAAACTGTAGGGAGATGAATACATTTCAGACAGCTTGGAGGAGGATCTCTGTCTGGTGTGGAAGGAATTTGCACATTTGCTTTTTAACTTTGCTTCAATCAAAAATAATTTTTAATGTCTCATTGCTAATGGGGAGATAGAAGGATGGAAAACAGTCTTGTTAAGTAAAAACAAGAGTCCTTGTGGCACCGTAGAGCCTAACACATTTATTTGGGCATAAGCTTTCGTGGGATGTACCCAAATAAATTTGTTAGTCTCTAAGGTGCCACAAGGACTCCTCGTTGCTTTTACAGATACAGACTAACCCAGCTACCCATCTGAGTCTTGTTAAGACTCCTTTTGGTTTTCTGGGTGTGATGTTCAGTATTTTAGAACAAAGCAATTAGTCAGGACTTTTAAGGTATGTCTACACTGCAATTAGACCCCTGTGGCTGGCCCGTGCCAACTGACTTGGGCTCAGGCTAGGGGTCTGTTCAATTGTGGAGCCTCAACTTCGGCACTTCAAGTTCAACAGCCACTTAACCCCAGCCCTTTGAGCCCAGTTAGCTGGCATTGCCTGGTGGCGGGTTTTTAACGGCTGTTTAGATATACTCTTAGGTTCTGTTCCCAGCTCCCGTGGGGCACCTTGAGTTATTTACCCTCTTTTATACCTCCATTTCTCAGTCTGTAAAATGGGCCTACCACATAGGGTTATGAAACTGTAAAGTGCTTTGAGGTCCTCCAATGAAAGTTGGTACATAAGTGCAAACAATTGCATTAGCACATGTATTGTCTGTTACAAAATGCATGAACTCTGGCTTTACAAGAGCCATTATGTTTTTTCATTGCATGCTGGGCTGAGGGGGAGGAATTTCCAAATAGTAGTTTGCAACTTTGTCTGGTGTTACTGGTAATATAGTAGTGATAAGGCCTAGAATAGAAGTGGATTGCTTCTGAGCACTTTACGTTAGTACTGTCAACAGTAACTGATGGGTAGGGGGAGCAGAAACTAAAATGGGATTTTTTTTTCAAAAATAGCAAAATGTAGTTTAATGTAGGATTTTTATTTTTAAATGTTAGGTTTGTGTTGGCTGTGGGCAGTGCGGTCTTCGATGCAATGTTTAATGGTGGAATGGCCACAACTTCTACAGAGATTGAACTGCCGGATGTGGAGCCTGCTGCCTTCCTAGCTTTGCTAAAGTAAGCCTCTTTTATTGTACAGTGTAATTAATTTATAACTGGGCACAGGTTATTGTGAACAAGAATATTTCAAATACAAATAATCCATTGTACCTCTTGGTTAAAACGGAGATAGTCAAGTAGCTTATATCAAATTTTTATCTCAATTGTTATCTGATACAACATGGTCTTTAAATACTAATTTTTGTAAATCCTCTATTCCATATCTGATAAACCTTTTTAAGACAGCCATTGTTTATGTAAGACCTACACAAATGTCTTGCACTTCTGCTGGTTCTTCTGCACAGGTTAACTAAGGACATGTCTAAATAGTGTTTATACCTCCTTAACTGTATTGCTTTAGAAGCTGATCTAGCTGAAACAGTGTGGCCCCTGGTATGGGCACCGTTACACTAGGATTGTAGGAATAAGCTATACTGATAAACACCTTCATACCAGGTTTCAGAGTAACAGCCGTGTTAGTCTGTATTCGCAAAAAGAAAAGGAGTACTTGTGGCACCTTAGAGACTAACCAATTTATTTGAGCATGAGCTTTCGTGAGCTACAGCTCACTTCATCGGATGCATACCATGGAAACTGCAGCAGACTTTATATACGCACAGAGAATATGAAACAATACCTCCTCCCACCCCACTGTCCTGCTGGTAATAGCTTATCTAAAGTGATCATCAAGTTGGGCCATTTCCAGCAAAACCTGGATTTGTGCTGGAAATGGCCCAACTTGATGATCACTTTAGATAAGCTATTACCAGCAGGAGAGTGGGGTGGGAGGAGGTATTGTTTCATGGTCTCTGTGTATATAATGTCTTCTGCGGTTTCCACAGTATGCATCCGATGAAGTGAGCTGTAGCTCACGAAAGCTCATGCTCAAATAAATTGGTTAGTCTCTAAGGTGCCACAAGTCCTCCTTTTCTTTTTACCTTCATACCAATATAACAGTGCAGTTTCTCAGGCCTTGTCTACACTTCCTCTTTATAGCACTGCAACTTTCTTGCTCAGGGGTGTGAAAAAACACCCCCGTGAGTGCTGCAAGGTTCAGGGCTGTAAACCGCCAGCGTAGGCAGTGCACCAACGCTGGGAGCTGTTCTCCCCTCGTGGGGGTGGGTTTTTTTTACAGCACTGGGAGAGCTCTCTCCCGGCGCTGGTGCTGTGACTGCACAAGCCACATTAAAGCCGCTACAGCAGCACCACCTTAACGTTACCAGTGAAGTCATACCCCCAGTGTTGGAAGATTTAACTATATCTGTCAAATCACACCCTTATCTGAAATAGTTAAATTGGTACTAAACTGTGTTTAGATCAGGCCTAATAAATCCTGTTCCTAGAGCTGGCTTGATATGGATGGTAGTGCTCTTCAAAAGAGGAGGAAAGCATATAGCACTCTTAGCATTGTATGGGTTACAACTGAAGCTCAGTCGGAAACTGGAGGAAAACCTGTTTCCAAATGAAAGGATTTAATGGCTGGGTTTCAGCTGGTCGAATTCTGTTGAAGTCAGTGAAAGCGTGAGAGCTGATGCCAGCTGAGGATCTGGCTCCTGGCCTCTAGTATTGGATAACGGAAGTAAGACTAGAGAATTCAGCAGTTAATGTTTTTAAACTTGTTTCTGATTTGTATCGATTTTAATACATTTTCATAGCAGGGCTGCAGGGGGCTCCTTGCACAGCCGCAGGGCCAGTGCGAGTTTGTGCTTGCAAGGTGGGCTGTGGTCCTTGTAAGGCAGACAGAGACTCCCAGCCAGGACTGCGAGGAGGAGGAGGAAGAGTCCCCAGCTATGAGGGAGGACTCCCTACTGCTGGATACCTCTTGCCCCCTTCTCCGCCCTTCCCATGGGGGTACAGATGGCTCCCCACATTTCTGGTACGGGGGAGGCTATTTTTAATGACTGCTGTTATATTTTTTTCATCCATTTCTGTGTCAGGTGAAACTGATGTTTACTGATGACTAACAATTTAAATCAAATTCTGCCAACCCTACCTATAACCTAAAGCCGAGTGTCATTTTTAAAGCTGCCAGAAAACTTGGAAGCTCCTGTGGCTTTCAGGTGCATACTCACAGCTCTCACTAAAGGCAGTGGGAGTGCTTTGTGCTTGTTAAAGGACCACATTTTGCCTGCAAAACTGACGTCTTGGAGCTTGTGAGAGTCCTGGTACCTAAGCAAAATACTGTCAGATGTGCAAAGGAATAATTTTTCATACATGGGGTAAACATTAAGAACTGATCAAGTTTTTCATGCAATGGGCATACATTTTTTTTTGCTTCCCTTTTCAGAAAAAGTGCTTCTGCCATAGATAAGACATCAAAGAGAAAGCAGAGCCTTAAAGGCTAAAGTGTTTCCCTAGAATGAAGGGTTAGAAATTCTCAGGAGCCCCCTTTCAACTGATGCATATGATTTAAGAGAAAGCACCTGGAAACACCCTCTTCCCCCCCCCCCCCCGAAAAAACCCCAAAACAAAAAACCCCCAAACAAACCAGTGCTTCCTGCTTGTGGAACTAAGACCCTTTGATTGGTTCAACTTCAGTTCATATCCAGACGAACAAAGCTGGTGTTTCGTTTTAACATCTGATTTGTAAAAATAAAGTGAAACTCAAATAGCGATTTGAGTTTAAGAAAAGCTGAAATTTGAGGTTATTCAAGGATAGCTTCTGAAAGCCTGAGATTTTAGTGTGGTTGCTGAATGGCCAGTAAAGTGGTCTTTGAAGGGAAGATGATCTGAAATGATCATTCGCCCAATACTTGAGATCAGTCAAATAACAGAAAAGAAAACTCTTTTTTTCGCTATAGAAAAGAAAAATAAGGCTTGGATAATGTAATGACTCTTAACACTTTAATCATCCATACCTTATGACTATAAGTTCATGCTTTACTTGTGTGGTGCAACAGTGTTCTAGATAACTTTAGACATTGACAGGGTTCTTGCCTCAATGGGCTGTCCGTTTAGAAGTACCCAGGAAAGATGGGAGGTATGTTCCCACAATGAGCAGGCTGAGTAATGAAGCTTAAGTGCTTTGATTAACAATTTTCTTGGAATTTAGCACTTGTCTTCATGCTAATTTTGATGTGGAAACAAGTGGTCTCCTGGATGTGGTTCAGAGCATGAGCTGATACCATGAGGTGAGGAAGAATTTTTCACCAATGTTCAGGATTGCACTTTCTGCTAGCCTTAAAGTTCAGTTGCAGGTCACTGCCAGGAGCTGGACTCCAAACTTGGCGGACCAATGATCTAATGTATGGTTGTCTCTGCATGGTAGTCCTCCTCTCTTGCTAATATTTTTGTTAACTCAGAATGGGCTCTTGTTTAGGTTTATGTAGCCTCAATCTGCTTTTCCATTTGGATATTGGCTATTTTAAATTTTTCTTGGCTCTTAGCAGTGTAGATACTTGAAGTCAGACTGACTCCTAAATTTTTCTCAAAGCCCATTATATATCCTGGTGTTATTTCCTTGGCTTCATGTATTGTTTCTGGGCTTGGTACTAAAACAAAACAATTAACATAGCCATGGCACTGAATAGCACAGTATTGTAGTACACATAATTGGTCAATTAATTTTTTAAAACTAGCTTGCAATAAAAGGATGCTAGCCTTGTAAAAATAGAAGATTGATGTGAGGGAGAGGGACAGAATACATAAACCAGTGGCTTGATGGTGTTAACAACAAATACTAATCTCTAGAGCACCTTACAGTAAATTCTCAATGTACTTTACAAACCGCCTCAACCTACTTTAAATTGCTGTCCGGGACCTGATTTCACACAGTAGTTTGAGTTATATTCTTAGAGGAGCCTAGCAAATAAAAGGTCAGCTTAGTGACATATTCTGAGTTTGAGTGAGGGTTTAGCTGCGGACATCTGCTCTCTGGCTTTCTTCAAGGTGGGAAGGCAGAAGGTGTCCCAAGTTCTGCTAATGGTGGGAGCTGGGAATAGAAATTAGATCTTTTATGGCTGCCATCAAGGATCTTTAGTAGCTTTTTTATAATTGGCCCTTTTAACTAGGCAGACTAAACTTTGGTGGCTGTCTCTTGTGGCTAGAGCTGCGTGCAGGGAGAAGTGTCTTCAGAAGTATTGGCATGAGCATCATATTGGCAATCCAATGGCAGCACAGCATACCGATATCACGGGTTGGGTTCTCTGCCTCTCAGGAAGCTGGGCTGTGGGCATAAGCAATGCCTTACCTTAGTCTACCACCTGCTGTGGTGATGGGCCTTTTTTTTGAGCCATATGCCCCCCACCCTGAGCAGAAGGAGACTGGACTGTAAGTTCCCCAAGGCATGGTCCATACCTGTGCGTTTGTACAGTGCCCGTAGAGGGGCTCTGATACCGAATGGGGCCTCCAGGTAGAACTATAATGTCAGTGGCACTGGGCTGCTAGGGGAAGTTTGGAAGACCTGGCAAGAGCACAGTGGAGAGGAGTACTCAAGCATTATAAATGAATTAACTGTAACGTCATGTGCTTGGTGCATATTTGCCACTAAAGACATTCGTGCCATTGGAATAAATGCAAATAAATTCTGCATTAAACCACTGAAGTTTCAAAAAAATCAGACTGTTTTATTTACTACTCTTCTGTCTTAGGCCCAGTCCTGTGCTAACGTATGCAGGTGGTCTCATTGACTGCAGCAGGACATAACCCTCAAGTGTCTTCAGGATTGGAACCTCTCTTCAGTGCTGTAAACTCCACTAGACTGGAGCCCTACCTCCCTTGAGCAACTTGCTTGGATCAAGAGTGTCCCTGTATGTCTAGGCAATGTGTTTGTGTCTGAGATGAGGGAGGGTCAGGTCAGACCTAAACCTTCATGAAGGCTGTTGGTTTTCCACCTTGCGAAGGAAAATTACTTTCTCACATCACTAACTCACTTCCCAGTGGAATGGGTTGCTTCCTTTGGCTAGGTTAACTTACTAAGAGAGTCTAAAGCTCAGTGTTCCCAGCCTTTGCTGCTATGAAGAGTGAGACCAAATCTGAGATTTGACCTGGGGGCTTCATTTACTACTAAGCCATCACTTGATTTTTTTCATTGTAATTAACTATTTTGCTTTCTATTTCAACTCAGTTAATTGAGTGATCTGACAATTGATATAATTTGCTAGCTCAGCAATAGTGAAGTGGAACACGAGTTTTCCTACTGAAGAACCATCACAGTAAGGGGGTGTGAGAGTGTGTGTGTAATGCGAAAAATAGGTGAAAGAAATATCATCACATTGCATTAGGTGTAAATCTTTGAATGTTTCTACTACAGGTTTTACCAATAAAATCATTCTTGTCCTCTGAATTTGCCTTGAAACTGTATACATAGCACCATCTTAACAATTAGTGACTAGTCACGGCATGGCTGAAGCTCTGTTCTCATTTAGTCTTTAATTGAACAGTCTGAAACACTTCAGCTAACTCGGCGTGGACAGGCCAAACCCAGGCCAGGCTAGAACAGTTTCTGATTATGCAGCAGGCCAGTGTTTTTTAAACCATTTAGCATGAGACGTGTTACAGTTTAAAATATCTCTCAAATGCTCCATACGTACACGACCTTTAATAGCAGAGTTGTGGTTATTCCAAACTGGAATGGTGGTTTATCATGGTGGCAGAGTGGGGAAGGGTAATAGCTGCTACTAAAAGTAAGAAATTGCACCAGCATGATGAGAACACATAATGGTCTTTGTGAACTAGAGTTCTCTGTCCTGACTCTTACTGCTGTCTTTCAACTAGCTAAAGCAGGCTTACGGAGCAGTACTTGTTTGCGTACTTCCAGATTTCTTTATTCGGACGAGGTTCAGATTGGCCCAGAGACTGTTATGACAACACTTTACACAGCTAAAAAATACGCTGTCCCTGCACTTGAAGCCCACTGCGTGGAGTTCCTAAAGAAAAACCTCAGAGCAGACAACGCATTCATGCTCTTAACACAGGTACGTTCTGAGGCTATTTGCATTTCAAGTCCTTTTAAACAGGTGCAACAGCTTTATATTATCTAGGCTGATGAGGATGTTTTGGACAAAGGAGGTGGCATGGCTTGCAATGGAATGGGTTACTGTGCTCTGGTGTATTGTTTTAGTCCAGAATTCTCTCATGACTAGCAGGAGTTCTCTTGTTAATGAAGAATGATGTAGTCCTTTAAATAGTAAAGCATAAATTGTAAGTGCTTATATCAATTGCTGTCACTATTCCAGAAAGAACCTTTTTGGTATGCCAAGTGTCTTGTTAACGCCATGATGGTGAGAACGTAGTAAATTGCTCTGTAACAAGAGAGAACTTTACTGAGCTTCATCCGCCTGGAACAAGTATTATGGCCTGAAGAAGGGAAACTATAAAGTATTCATGTGTTCAAATATAGGGCAACTCCAGGAATAAATATTCACTGTATGGAGCCTACTGGCAGCCATCTAGAAGGCCCCTTTTTTGAGGGACTTTTTTATAATACCAGGATTCCCCCACTTCTGAAGAATGCAGAAAGCCCTCAGCCCTTTTCTCCTTAGGGTAGGAGGTGGGAGGTGAGTAAGATGGGACAGTTATTTGTTGTTGCAAGTAACTGGATGGTGGCCTTTTCCTCAACAAGTGCCAGCTCGGATCTCCACTGCAGGTGATGTGCACAGATATGGAACCTGTGGATGGGGTGTTGGTTGAGGCTGTGTGACCCTGCCGATGTCCTCTTTTGAGGCTGAGCTGAGGCCGCAGCTGTCATTCTTTTCCTTCTGACTGCTATAGACAGAAAATAAGCCTTTACTGGGTCCTTCATTACGTCTGCTGATTTATTTTGGGGAAGTTAAGTCTTTCTGCATAGGAAGCTTTTTGTTGTGATAACTGAAAAAGTTAATATTTGTAAAATTCTATGCCAGTTTTTACCCCCATCAGGAATTTTGCTCTTGTTTAGGGATCCGAGACTTTCCTGGGCCACGAAAGGCCTTTCTAGTCATGGCTGAGGACAAATCCATGAGTTTCAAACCATAGTCCTCCTGTGATGGCACCCTGCGAGTTCTGGATAAACGCACTTCGCTTGTTCGGCTTCAGAGCAGGGCATGTCTGTCTGACTGTTCTGTGCAGGTCTCTTTCCGGTCACATACGCAGTGGGAAAGCTGCCTTAGACTATCGCGATTCTAGAGGAATCAACATTAGTTTCCTTCTGCTGAGTTGGGAGCGGTTATCAAAGGGGATACATGCCTTAAGATAGTCTGGCACTGAGGGACTTGACCAGATTGTCCTGTGCAGGAGGCTTTGATGCCAGGAATTGTTAACTTGCTCTGTGATCCTGTTCCCTGAATCTAGCACTTAGTTGGGGGAGGTTTAGGTTGGATATTAGGAAAAACTTTTTCACTAGGAGGGTGGTGAAACACTGGAATGGGTTACCTAGGGAGGTGGTAGAATCTCCTTCCTTAGAAGTTTTTAAGGTCAGGCTTGACAAACCCTGGCTGGGATGATTTAGCTGGGGATTGGTCCTGCTTTGAGCAGGGGGTTGGACTAGATGACCTCCTGAGGTCCCTTCCAATCCTGATATTCTATGATTCTATGACTCTATGAACTATTGCACTTAGGTCCACCTTAATAATAAGTCATGATACTGGCCCACTGAGTCCTTGCGGGGCTCTGCTTCCCAGCATTGCTCTTCAAAGCAACAGAAAAAGAAAGTCATCTTCACTCTGGTCATCTTGGTCACTGCATCAGTGTCTGGCCCTTCATTGGTTCCAGAATCTCTGGTGTTTGCCGTCTCTGGTGCCTCAACATCTGGAGCATCAGTGTGAGTTGCTCTGCCTGGACTGCTTCAAGTTTTGGTTGCCTCTTGGGCCAGATGCTCTGGTTCTGGGATCTCTGGCACTTAATGCTTTGGCTTTTGGTGTCTTGGTAATGGGCACTTAGGTGAACGTCGTTGTCCCTGAGCTTGATTGCTGGGTAATTGCTGCTGCACTCCCTGTTCTGTTCTGTTCTGTTCTGTTCTAGGTGCTGGTCATGAATAAGGGCTGTCTTTCTGCATGCCCTCCTAGGTTGGCTCTGTTTTCTTCTTTGAATCAGAGCTTCCTCTTATTACATTTTCCCCATACCACACTCAGGTCAGGTTGGTATTGGGACGTATGGACTGCTAGATTCTACCTCACTGTCTGGGATATGGCCTGATGTGCACTCTGAGATGCTTTTCTCCTGGTCCCCTCAACTCAGGTTATGTTGTACCTGCATCTTGGCTCCTGTCTGATTCATGGATTCCTCTAGGGATGAAACAGTCATAGAAGTCCTAAGGATTAGCACCCTAGCCCTTTTGGCCATTTGGGCTAAGCTGCCTGAGGTCTCCAAGACCAGAAGTCGTTGCCCTGAGCTGGAAAGAGACTTTTTTGTTAGATCTGTTTCCAGAGACTCCTAGCTTTGTCAGCAGCTGTCACCTCATTTTCCATTTTTTCAGTGAATGGGAGAAGGAAGAGATTATAAACAGTCCTTCTCAGGAAGACCTCTCATGGTCATCTTCATGCAATGATTTTGTGTTGTCCACATCTGGCTCCACACTGGATGACTGCAGAGATTGCCAGGGCAGGATAAAACTTTGTCCACAGTAATTTCCTCATTTGGAGTCAGATGTCCCTCTGCAGTGCAGGAGGAAGGGGTTCTTGTTGTATTAAAGTCTCAGAAGACAAAAGATATTGGATACCAAAGTGTCCATTGTCTCAGCAATACACTGGTTACTGAAGTTTCAGATGGACACACTGGCTTTCCATGTTCCTTTTTCCATTTCCACAAGATTGGTTCCTGGCTCTTGACTTAAAGCACCCTTCCTATCTTGTGATCTACCTAGGTGATCAGAAACATCTTCCATTCTGTGTGGGAGACAGTAATCACTAGTATCTGTACTTTCCATTCACTCTCCATGGCCCCCCAGCCTCTTAAAATGTCTCACAGTACTGGCAACCTTTCTGAGAAAAACAGGCATATTTATGTTGAGCTGTATCTCAATGTCTAGCTGATAAGAGATTCCTGGCTCCAAGGCCAGGTCCGGTCCTTGAGCCTGGGAATCCACCTCAAAAGTCCATTTTTACCGCAACACAAATAGTTTTGAAATGAGAGTTCCAGACTTTAGATTTGCAAAGGTATGTGTCTCACAAGACTGGTTGCAAATAATTATCTGGCTCTGGAGCCCCACTCATCCTCAGACAACTATGATTTGCATTTGTGACACTCCTGGTCAGATTCTGTTGGAGATCATTGCAGGGCTGGTTGAGATGACTGAGATCAACAGGGGCTTGACAACACTATCAGTGTAGCTGAACCATCTGTTGATGGCTAGCTGTCTTCATCGTTTGTGCTTCATAGTTGACCATAATGTGCTGGTCCAGATGTGCTTGCAAATGTCCCTGAGCAGTGAAGAAATGCAGTGTGTGCTTCCAAACACTGAGACTCCTGTAAGTCTCTGATATGAAGCGACCTTGAACGTGTCAGAGTCTAAGATGGCCAGGACTTGTCCACATCATTGAAAGTGCTGGCACTCAGGCTTTCCAGTGTGCTTAGCTCGGTTGCTTCACCACTGAAGAATTTGCTCAGTCACCAAGGGTGCAAAAGGAGTTGGCGGATGTGATTGCAGAACCATTGGCCATTAGCTTTGAAAACTCATGGCGAACGGGGGAGGTCCCAGAAGACTGGAAAAAGGCTAATGTAGTGCCCATCTTTAAAAAAGGGAAGGAGGAGGATCCTGAGAACTACAGGCCAGTCAGCCTCACCTCAGTCCCTGGAAAAATCATGGAGCAGGTCCTCAAGGAGTCAATTGTAAAGCACTTAGAGGAGAGGAAAGTGATCAGGAACAGTCAGCATGGATTCACCAAGGGCAAGTCAGGCCTGACTAATCTAATTGCCTTCTATGATGAGATAACTGGCTCTGTGGATGAAGGGAAAGCAGTGGACGTGTTGTTCCTTGACTTTAGCAAAGCTTTTGACACGGTCTCCCACAGTATTGTTGCCAGCAAGTTAAAGAAGTATGGGCTGGATGAATGGACTGATAAGGTGGATAGAATTCTTGCTAGATCATTGGGCTCAATGGGTAGTGATCAAGGGCTCCATGTCCAGTTGGCAGCCGGTATCAAGTGGAGTGCCCCAAGGATCGGTCCTGGGGCCAGTTTTGTTCAATATCTTCATTAATGATCTGGAGGATGCTGAGGGTACAATCCACACCAAGGTTGCAGATGATGCTAAACTGGGAGGAGTGGTAGGTATGCTGGAGGGTAGGGATAGAATACAGAGGGACCTAGACAAATTAGAGGATTGGGCCAAAAGAAATCTGATGAGGGTCAACAAGGACAAGTGCAGAGTCCTGCACTTAGGAAGGAAGAATCCCATGCACCGCTACAGACTAGGGACCGAATGGCTAGGCAGCAGTTCTGCAGAAAAGGACCTAGGGGTTACAGTGGATGAGAAGCTGGATATGAGTCAGCAGTGTGCCCTTGTTGCCAAGAAGGCTAATGGCATTTTGGGGCTGTATAAGTAGGGACATTGTCAGCAGATCGAGGGACATGATTGTTCCCCTCTATTCGACATTGGTGAGGCCTCATCTGGAGTACTGTGTCCAGTTTTGGGCCCCACACTACAAGAAGGATGTGGAAAAATTGGAAAGCGTCCAGTGGAGGGCAACAAAAATTATTAGGGGACTGGAGCACGACTTATGAGGAGAGGCTGAGGGAACTGGGATTGTTTAGTCTGCAGAAGAGAAAAATGAGGGGGCATTTGGTAGCTGCTTTCAACTACCTGAAAGGGGGTTCCAAAGAGGATGGATCTAGACTGTTCTCAGTGGTACCAGATGACAGAACGAGGAGTAATGGTCTGAAGTTACAGTGAGGGAAATTTAGATTGGATGTTAAGAAAAACTTTTTCACTAGGAGGGTGGTGAAATACTGGAATGGGTTACCTAGGGAGGTGGTGGAATCTCCTTCCTTTGAGGTTTTTAAAGTCAGGCTTGACAAAGCCCTGGCTGGGATGATTTAGTTGGGGATTGGTCCTGCTTTGAGCAGGGGGTTGGACTAGATGACCTCCTGAGGTCCCTTCCAACCCTGAGATTCTAGGATTCTGTTAAAGCAGGAAATTCTGCCATATTTCAGTTCTCTGATGCACTTGAGGTCTCAGTATTTGAAGCTGGTGTTACTAAGTTCTGTCTCAGATAGCCTTGCACAAGTCAGAGGCAGGAGGCACCAAGAGAACCAGCAGCTCCGTGAGTGCAACCCTGTCTAAGCTCCTAAGTCAAAACATCTTTTTAGCCATTATTTGTATTACGGTAGTGAATGGAGCCCCCAGCACGTTGTGGCACAGTTGTGCTAGGTGCTGTTTGTGTTTAGTAAGATGATCCGTGCTCTGAAGAGCTTAATCTAAATAGAAAAGACAAAGCGTGGTGGATAGGAAGTATTCTTCAAGGTGACCTCTGCATATGCCCACGTGTTCTGAATGGCTCCAAGAACCCTGATGGTACTTATGCTAGGCATAGAGATGGTACCAGATGGATTCAGGATGTTGGTGCTACCCATGCTGGGCACAGAACAGCTCTGGTGCTGGGTCCTTGGAATTCAATCTTTTGGCGCCACTTATGCTGCGCATACAGCCACTCTGAGTGTCTCCAAACTCTGAGGACTCTCGTGTGACCAGACTTAGTCCACTTACACCATTGTGAATTTCCTTACTGTAAGTAAATCGATCTATTTACACCTCTGCAAACCCTCATGTAGACAAAGTGCACTGGCACAAAGCAGAACTTTTATGAGTGCAGCTTGCTTCAGTATGTTACTGGTTTCACTTGCATCAGTGTGGGTTTCACTTTGCATCAATACGCTGTCTACATTTTGGCATTTTCACTTGATGTAATGGCATCGGTGTAGCTGTACAGTGCAAATTTCATTAATGTAGATTGGCCCAATTTACTCAGGCACTATCTTTCCCCTCTTCTGATGTAGCAATCTCAATTACACTTGCTCTCAGACAAAGGAAGCCCTTCTACAAAGGGCTTTCTTACATTTAGTTTGATTCATTTTTTTTTTAATGAAAGTTAAGGGTTTACCCCACTATCAGCTGACATGTCAAACCTGACTTGTCCCTGTCTCTGCTGCCTGCAAAGTTCTAGTTAACATAGTGCTAGTTAACAGGACTCTTCAAAGTCTCTTTCTAACTTGATGTAACTCTTGAGTGAAGATGTATTCAGCTAAATTGGAGCCAAGTTTTCTTCCAGTATGTGTATTATTACTCTTCCTTAACTAGCTGTGAAAGGCTAAGCTATGTTGTCTGTGTCATGAATTCACTTGGTTTGCAAACTAGTGGCAAATCCAGTAATTGGAGAAAGATGCTTTAAAATAAAATATCCTTGATTGGCTGCAAATAAGGAACTGAGAACAACTTTTTCTTTGCATTAATGATGGATGCTTCGTTGTTAGGCAAGACTATTTGATGAACCCCAGCTGGCCAGCCTGTGCCTAGAGAACATAGACAAGAACACATCAGATGCCATCAATGCCGAGGGGTTCACAGACATTGATTTAGGTAAGCTTTGTTTCCTTTCTGCAGACTCTTGTTACAAGCTTGACTTTTGGATTACACAAGTTTCTTTACCTGGCAGTTTGTCCTTTTTGGTTTGGCCCTAGCTGTCTAGGGACAACTTCTCAAGGGACTGGAACTGACAGTCCCTGGGCATAAGCATATAGGGGCAGGGGATTCTCAGCAGAACTCTTAGAACTAGACACTGGCATTCACATCCCTTTGCTCTATAGGGCTGTGACACTTTGATCTCTAGGGCATAATACAAAGCCTATCCCTTTTGTTGCTGTTGGCTGGCGAAGGGTGGGTGTAACATACCCTCTGTGGGAGGAGTTGGCAGTGCTTTGACTTGAAATAAGATTCAGGTGTTAAATATTTATGTCCAGAGACATTGTAGTGTGCACGTTTCATAAATGGAACTTAAAAGTCAAAATATTCATTTTCTATTGCTAATGGGCTAAACTGTCAAATTAAGGCATGGATAATACAAACTTTTTGGCTCTTATCCTGTTTATGTTCAAGTTTGACTTGTAGGTAACCAGAAATTCCTTTTACTGTGCAGCAGTAAATGTATCCACTCTGTAGGCACTGCTTGCTGTTGCAGTGGCATGCCTACTTGTGGAATTACTCATCAGGTTGTGGGCATACAGCGCTCAGGAGCAGCCCTGCAGTTCTGAATTCCGACGCCTTTCCTCGCCTTGGGATTCTGCATTGGGAACTTTGGCCACTTAAAAATCAGGACATATGGGTCAGTGCCTAAAGTTGTTGCTGTCCTGCCTTACAGACACCCTGGTTGCGGTGCTGGAGCGGGATACCTTGGGGATTCGGGAGGTTCGTTTGTTTAATGCAGTGGTTCGCTGGTCGGAGGCAGAATGTCAGCGGCAGCAACTTCAGGTGATTCCAGAGAACAAGCGGAAAGTACTGGGCAAAGCGCTTTCTCTTATTCGCTTCCCATTGATGACTATTGAGGAGTTTGCAGCAGGTAACTGAATAAAGGCGCTTCTGGGAGACCTGGTCTCCACTTCCAAATCTTAGAGGATCAAGTATATTTTAAAAAAAGGACTTTCATAGAATATCCAAAACTGCTCAAAATACTTGTTAGATATTTGTTGTTGGACATCAAAAGCTACAGGTACATCACACAGTTTATCAGTAATTTAGTTTTAAACATCCCATGGAGAACCTAAGATCAGTAGCTCTCTAAAAGTTAAATCCTGTTGTTTCTGCATATTATCTGTGTTTTTACTACTGACTACATGAAAAAGGAAATAACATATCTGAATAGGAATATACTTTTCCTGTTCCCTTGAAAGAGTAGACTGCAAAAAGTACTAACATTTAGTATTGAACTGTGGTGGTGATGGTGGTGTATCCCATTCCGAAAGGTGACTTACAAAGGGAGGAGGAATTGTAAGCCATTCAGGCTTTCATCATAAAGAAACACAAGAATCACTTTTCTGCTTCCCCTTAACCACAGAAGGGTCAGGAATATCTAGTGTTGTCATCCCTGTTTTGCTAATGGACTCTCCAGAGTAGACACCTGGAATGGAAGCTTTCTCAGCCCTCAGTTGAAGGGAGAGAGGTGTTAGTTATTTCACAAATAACACTTTCCCTAAGCCTCCGTCATGAGTGCAAGTTAAAAAGATGTTCCCTTGGTTTAAACAATCTGACTAAAAATGTCTTCCTTTCTCACTTGCCCACTTGTCTCGTATGATTTCTTATCTCAGAGGTTCTCCAGTCCTCCAGGGAGTAAAGTCAACTTGATGTTTCTTGGGCGGGAGAAAAAAAGAAAAGAAAAAAAAAAAAAAAACCAAGCAGAAGAGCCATTTAGAAACATCCTGAAGTCCCCATTCTACATTATAAAAAGCAGAAGGGGGCACGAACACAACTTTTTTTTTTTTTTGGTAGGTCCGTTCTAAGGAGGGGGTGACTTCCATTCCTTGATGATGAATTTTGACCTCTGAAAAATAAAGTTGGTAATAACGACAGCCACAATAACCAAAAAAGTGTGTAATGTGTATTTAAAGAGATGGGTATACTAAAAATCAGCAGTAACGGCCATGCTGCCTGTCGCAGAAGTGACTTGGACGTTGTCTGACATGCTGACCCTTTTGTTGGTCAGAGATTCGGTCCATTCTCACTGAGTGGCTCAATCCTGTTGGTCTGCTGTACATATTTAATGGCTTTCCTCCACCTTGAAGTTGATATCCATGGTCACAATGTGCAGTTTGTTCCTTTATGTTTGAACCACTGCTTAGTTGGGTACAGGATTATTGCATCAATTCCAGATCTGATGTAGCATCTGGTGTGACTAAAGAAAGCACGTTTCTTCTTGACAGGGTCAAAATTCTCATCAGTAAAAGCAACAGTTTCTGCCTGTTCTGTCTTTTCCGTCTGGAAGGTGCTGGATTTTTCTTCCCCTTCAGACTTTTATGGATGACAAGTTCAGTTATGTAGGAGGCTTGCATGGGTTTTCGGTGTGCCAGGGTGAGAAGTTTGACTCTAGGGAAAGCCAGGATCTCTGTTCTGTGGTCTGTTATGAGTGCTTGTTTGAGCTGTGGCCTCTCCAATAGCAGGGAAATCACTGTTGCTGTCTTGTTTTGAGATTACATATAGGAAATGTTCTTCCAGTGTCCATTCAGTCTTTAAAATACCCTAACAATTTATACTGTCCAGCCCCTCCTTCAATAAGGATGAATAACTTGGATTTGCTGCACTTTTGTCCTCTAAACTAACATTGTCAGAGCAAGGCCTCTTGCGTCTGTGTCAACCACAGTGGAGGTGGGAAAATGGAACTGGTAGCCTATATGAGAGGATTTTGGAAGCTGTTGGTTTCAACTAAACCAGCTTATAATTTAGTATAGAAAGTGGAGATCAACATAAAATGCATCTTGGCTGGCTAGTGGGTCAGTCACACCCCATTCCCTTAGAGCAAGTAATTTGAAACATTCCAGAACCAGGAATTGCGGCAACTGGGTATATTTAGACATGATCTGTTTGCAGTAATTTTTTGCTGATCAAGGTGTCCGTAAAGCCATTTAAATGCTAACCATACATATTTCTTTAAATTTTATTTCATCCTTGTCTCTTGCAGTCATGTGCCGTCTTACACCTGACTTTCAAGACTATTTAAAGGGGCACAGTTAATTTACAAGTCATTGAATGTAACCAGTCATAGTTACAAACAACACTTAGGATGACTAACTGGAAAAGAGGTGGAGATTTTTTGTTTGTGCATTTGACAGCAACTTTGTGTGTAATCAACTTCATTGTTGGGTGTTCTCTCTCTCTCACTCACACACAGAAGTTTCTTTTAAACACAGTACCAGAAAAGCTACTCTGCAAGGAATTAGTCAGGACATGCTATTTAAAGGGTGCTTTGGCAGCAACTGGAACCATTCAATTAAACTTTTTGGAAATTGATTGAGTTCAGTGTCCCTTTAGAAGGCATACCTAAGATGACTGTAACAGAAAGATAAGAGGAATTGTTTGGGTTTATAGTTTATGTAGTACTTTCTGTAGACTGTTTAACTATAGTCAGTTTTCTTTGTCTGTATGAAAGATGCATACTGCAACAGGCAGAGAAATGTGGTGTTTTTTTTTAAAGTGGGAACAAAATCCCCCAGAATGGCAGGGAGTTCACAGGTGTAGGTGGTATTACCTGAAACCATGTCCATCTCAACAGTTAAAGTGGGCTACCTTTCACATTGACAGCATATTTTTAATTTCGACATCTCTTCCTGCTGTACTTACCCCATTACATCATCCCATCTAGGGTCTTCACCGCAGTGGTAATAAACTAAATGAGTGTAGATCTTGTAACTGTCGCATAAAATGTAAATACTGATCTCTCAAAGGGGTAGGGTTGGGAAATTAGCTGCATGCCCTTGATATTCTTAAATGTTTGTGGTAGAACTCAGGCCAATTGAATAAATAACAGCATGTTGGCTGAATGGAGGTGTGTATTTATAATACATGCCAGACCAGATGCTGATGTGTAGTGTCTCAACATGTTGATGTGCAGGTAGAAAGCGGCCTGGTATACACTGTGTTCTCAGTGAAGCTAGCTTCCTTTCCTGAGGGAATTTAAGCATGTGTGCCATTCCTGGTGTATATTATGTAGGAATCACCTACTCATATTCTCAGCATAAATTTGCCTTCCATTGTAAAACTTGCAGCAATTTTTGCTTTTTTTTTTTTTTTTTAAAGTCCTGACAGCGTTGCTGTCTGTCTGCTCCTTTGCAGGGCCTGCCCAGTCAGGAATTCTGACTGACCGGGAAGTGGTTAGCCTGTTTCTCCACTTCACTGTCAATCCAAAACCCCGAGTGGAATTCATTGACAGACCACGCTGCTGCCTGAGAGGGAAGGAGTGCAGCATCAACCGTTTCCAGCAGGTGGAGAGCCGCTGGGGGTACAGTGGGACTAGCGACAGGATCAGGTCAGTTCTGCTGCTCATCTCTTCCTGTTCTGTTGAGCTTTGAGTGGTCTTAGGCCTGGCCTACACTAAAATGTTCTACCAGGATGACTGCTGGTTAGCGTGTGGCCCTAGCATGCATGCAGATATGCTAGTGTTAAGGTGCCCTATACTGGTATAACTTAATTTGCTTCCCAAAATGGAATAAGCTATATGTGTATAAGCTCGTTTATACTTTGTATAATAACTATGCCCATGCTGGGTGGTGGGGAGAGTTTGCTGCTTTAATTACACCTGTGTAGCTTAAAACGGCTCTACTTTCTAGTGTAGACACACCTTAAATGCACCCAGTCGTTCTTTTTGACAGAGTAAGTATCACAGACCCTTGTCTAATTGTTACCTGTAGCCTTATGCCAAATCATGGCTTGTCTTTGGGTGACTAGACAACATGTTGATTCACCAGTGCTCTGTTAAATCTGGGCCAGTTCCCTGCTACACTAAGATCATGCACCAGCTTTTTTACTAACATCAAGCTAGCTTCTGTAATCTAACTTGCTGTAGATTCATAGATGCCAGGGCCAGAAGAGGCCATTGTGATCATCTAGTCCGACCTCCTGCATAGCAGAGGTCCGAGAACTGCCCCAGAATGAGAGCATCTCTCTCAGAACCACATCCGGACTTGCTTTAAAAATTGTCTGAAGGAGAATCTATCCCAACCCTTGATAAATTGTTCCAATGGTTAATTTCTTACTGTTATAAATGTATATCTTATTATCAGTCTGAATTTGTCTAGCTTGAACTTCCAACCATTGGATTGTTAGACCTTTCTCTGCTAGGCTGAAGAGCCCATTATTAAATACTTGTTCCCCCGTAGATACTGATGAACTATAATCAAGTCACTCCTTAACCTTCTCTTTGTTAACCTAAATAGATAGACTCAAGGCGCTCAATAGCTGTAAGGCAGGTTTTCTAATCCTTTAATCATTCTATAGATTCATGCAAGGTCATTTTAATGGGTACAGTGAAGTGAAGGCTGTCTCAATTAAAGGCTCCACTTACTGATTGCAGGCATTGTGGCCTAGTGATTAGAGCAAGGCACTGGGAGTCTAGGAGAGCTGGGCTATTCCCTTATTTGCTGCTGACTTGCAGTGACTATAGGAAGGTTGTTTAATTTGTCTGGTTTAGTTTCCCCATCATTAAAGTAGGGTAAAACCTTGTGTTGGAGAGGCTATTATAACAGGAAACTTTTAGAGCAAAGATCTAACATTGAGAAACCTCTTGACACCTCTCTGTCTTTGAGTTAAAGTTGTCTAACTTATTTTAAGTGAAACTGTTTGACAGTGTCAGCTTCGAGGTGCACGTTGAGCCAGGCTGCTGTGTAGTTTTGGTATGCGATATTTTACACTGCTGGCAGATCAACTTTGAATGTGCCCTGGATGTGCGTTGCTAACATGCGTTAACATTGCAGCTGTTGTCTGAGGGGGTGAGCAGGTGGTGTTGGAAATGGGGTATCCAATTTTGGTATCCAGGGAGGAGAGAAAAGCAATCTAGTGTTTTTGCAATGGGAAGGCAGATGTATTTCCTTTTCCTCCCTGTCTTGGGGGTATGGGGTGGGGGGGTGAAGGTAGTTTTGAATAAGGTGTGGTGTGGGAGTTGTCGGAGTTCTTATTCTCTACCCAGGCAATCTTGACAGCAGCTAGCTGTTCCGCTGCAAATACACCGAGCAATTATGCACAAGTATATTAACTTAATGATTCTGCTTCAGTGATCAGGTGTGAAATATTTAATGTTGACATTTAAAGTATTCTTACTTGGCTTCAAAGTGTTAATCTCATGGAGGTGAGTAAGAGCAGTTCATCTCTCTTGGCTTTATTTTCAACCTCTCCAGATTCCGGCAGACCACTGCATCAGCTTTGACTTGGTTCACATCTTGGAGGCTGACTTTGCAGTCCTAAGGGCTAGAGAGTTCATTGTTTTTTAATGAAAGCTCATATGTGACAATGTACATAGCCACCTAATCCCGTTTTGTGTGGGGTCAATCTGAGTGTTAATGGTGCAGTATGAATTGCTTATGCTGTTACTATGGAAGCAGAATACAAAATTCTATTTTCCTTTAGTGCAAATCATTAACTATCAAGGATCTAAGACCTTATTGAAAAAGCACACTTAAAATACAGTACAGAATTCAGTAAGTCTTAGACCTGAAAACAAATTGTGAGCTAAGGTCACTATGCATCCTCCTTACTTTAGCAGACCAGTTTGCCATTTTTGTGCTGACTCTTCCCTGTTAACCTCTCTCTAAATCTTACAGGTTCTCAGTAAACAAAAGGATATTTGTAGTTGGGTTTGGACTGTATGGATCAATACATGGGCCGACAGACTACCAAGTAAATATACAGGTATTAAACATTCTCTCTTTACTGTACTAAACATGCCCTTTATTTGCTGCCATATAAACCTCGCCAGTGTAGCGCTCAGTGAAATATACACCAAACTTTTCAACGATACAGTTAACTCCTTTTTATAAAAAGGCGTCTTCATGTTTTATAGAAATACTGGTTAGCTGAGCAGAGTAAAGAGACACACGGGGCCTAGGAGGATTAGCTACTTTCATAAGCCTGTTTCTGTTCTGCTATAAATGGCATCCATCACTGCGATATCTCAGTGCTGCCATGTTGGGAGTTTAGTGCTCATAAGAATGTATAATCTGACCGCATTGAGGCAATTCAGGTAAATGCTGGGGTTAGGGAAACACATGTTTACACAGGCGTCCTTTGAGTGATTGCGTGTGTCATTCCACTCCCAATGTGCAAGCACCTTTGCATGCAGTTGTCAGGAAGTTTTTTCCTCTCAAGTAATACCTGTTGTGGCAACTTGTACGCTACTGCGTGGTGTATAAAGGGCCCACCCGCCCCAAGCCCTCTCAGTTCCTTCCTACTCACAGATATGAGTGTTAAAAAAAAAATATGTTTAGACTTTATGGAATACTTGTAGGATGCTGCCGGTATTAATCTTACTTATATTATAACTATACTATGGGATATAAATATTGAGTGTTTGCATTGCATTGCAATGGTCCTCGGAATTGCTCAGCTTGCCTTAGCAAGTGCTCTGTGTGTTCATTGTAAATTAATTAATTGTAGACAGTTTTCTAGATTCATAGCATTAGTACGTACCTAATGGTGTAGCGAGTGTAGGTGTTTCCTCAGTCCCCAGTTGGGTTTTTTCACGTTGTGTGGGACTGAGGGATGCCTCGGTCCCTGGGCTTCAAGCTCTCTCTCTCGTGGTAGGCTGAGGCCCGTGAGCAACCCACACTCAAGCTGCTGAAAGCGTTTCGGGGAAGCTCATATTCAGGGTTGTTGCCAGATCTACAAAGACTTTAAGCCTTGGATGAGGAAAGACGGAAGCTAGGCTAAAGTTTTGGCTCATGGAGGTGCTCCTTTGGCTCAGCAGTGGTCTCGGGCACTGTTGGGAGCAGCTCCCCCTTGGTCAGCAGAGGGATAATAGTCCTCCTCTGAATCAGAGATTTGCTCCTTTGTTTCCCAGTGTGAGCCAGTTTCACTACTCTCCACCAAGGCACTGCTAGGGAACCTTCAACGGGAGTGCCATCAAGTGTGTGGCCAGGGAGTTCCTGGCACCCACCTCTGTCCGGTGGCCTTTTTGAAACCCGTGGGGTTCCCCCCTGGTTTCTAGGTCATATGAGGCATTCCTGCTCTGTGTCATTGGAGAGAGGTGGGGAGTCTATTCGCCAGGCACCGCCTGTTCCTGAGTCCAGTACAAGCAGCAAGAGGCAGTTCACAAAGACCCTTCTGGACAGCTAATGGAGGAGCCTGTGCTGGCCTCTTCTTCGTCCTCTCCTGATAAGGCAGTCTGCTCGGGACGTTTCACCTGCCCCCAGTGACTGACTGAACCAAGAGCTGCGAAAGAGGGTGGCCTTAAGCCTGGAGATCGTGGTGGAGGAGGTTAAAGAATCCTCACACTGCCTTGACGACATTTTGGCCACAGCAGGGCCTTCATGAGTGGCCTCACCTATTAAGGTGATTATGGACCCTGCTAAGGCTCTCTGGCAGAACCCCTTTATCTCTTCCCTGCCTCAAAAAAGCAACAAACATAAATATTCTGTTCCGTCCCAGGAGTCTGAATGTCTCTATTCTCATCCCCCCACCCTGCCATCCTCTCTGGTGATATCCACAGCCAGTGAAGGGAACAACAGGGGCAACCTCTGAATCGAAGGACAGGAATAAACTAGATCTGTTGAGTAGAAAAGTTTATGCTACTTGGGGATTGCAGCTCAGGACTGCCAATCAGCGAGCGCTTTTGGGCTGGTACGATTTGAGTGTCTCTAAACATTAGAGACTTTTAGAGTACAAAATGATGGGGTCTAAATTAGCTGTTACTCCAAGATCTCTTTCTTGAGTGGTCATTGTGGATAGTTCTCCGAAAACATAGTCTCAGGATGCAGTGGCAGTCAAAAAACTGAACAATGTTAGGAACCATTTGGAAAGGGATCGATAATACAACAGAAAATATCATAATTTTCTGATTATGGTATGATATGGTACACCCATATCTTGAATACTGCATGCAGATCTGGTTGCCACATCTCAAAAAAGATACGTTGGAATTGGAAAAGGTACAGAGAAGGGCAACAAAAATGATTACGGGTATTACTTCTGTATGACAAGAGATTAAGACGACATGGGACTTTTGAGCTTGGAAAAGAGGTGACGAAAGGTGGGGTGGAATATGATAGGTCTATAAAATCTTGGCTGGTGTGGAAAAAGTGAATAAGGAAATGATATACAAAGGAGTAAATAACACAAGAACTAGGGGTCACCCAATTAAATTAATAGGCAGCAGGTTTAAAATGAACAAAAGGAAGTATTTCTTCACGTAATGCACAGTCCACCTGTGGAACTCATTGCCAGGGGATGTTGTGAAGGGCAAATGAATAACTGAGTTCAAAAGAGAACTAGATAAAATCATGTAAGATAGATCTATCAATGGCTATTAGCCACGATGCACAGGGATGCAACCCCATGCTCTGGGTGTCCCTAGCCTCATTGCCAGAAGCTGGGACTGGATGACGGGATGGAGGACCTCCTGAGGTCCCTTCCAACCCTGATATTCTATGATTCCTTGATTGCCTGTTCTCTTCATTCCCTCTGAAGCACCTGGCATTGGCCGCTGTCGGAAGACAGGATACTGGGCTAGACAGACCATTGGTCCAACCCTGCATGGCTTTTCTTATGTTCTTCTGAGTGTGGGACTCTGTTTCAGAGTTCATAGACATGCTTCCAGAGGACATTAGGCAGGAGTTCTTGTTGATGAGAAGAAATATGTAACAAGATCTTTGTTGCAGGCTGTGCTGGGTGCATTGGACTTTGTGGCTAGATCCGTGACTTCTGCAGTGGCAAGGCTGGCGTGCTCAGGCTTCCACAAGAGTCCAATAGACTTTACAAGACCTGCCCTTTGAAGTGTCTTTGCTGTTTTCAGAGAAAACTGACTCTAAGCTCCATGGCTTGAAGGACTCTTTAAAGTCTTTGGGGCCGTACGCACCAGCCCCATCCAAAAAGCACTTTCACCTATAAACAGACTCACTGTTGCTCTGCTCCTGCTTCTCAGCAGGGCCTGCAGAGAAAGAAGAGCAGGGGTTATAGACCTCGAACACCCCCTCCGTCTGTCTCTGCATCAGTGCCTGCTCCATCTTATGCCTAGTGGGTGCTAAACAGCTATTTGGGTGGGATGCTCGAGGCTGTCCTGCCAGATTCCATTTTCCCTATATTTGCAAAACCGCTTTTCCCACTTCATCAGTGCTTGGTTCTGGATTACTTCAGACCGCTGGGTATTAAGATCTATGGAAGTAGAATATACAGTTCAGTTTGTTTCTGCTGCTCCCTCCCCATCCCTCTTCAGGAGCCACTCTCACAAGGAGCTCTTCCTCCAGCAGGTTCAACCTATCCTTTGGTCATAGAGGAGGTTCCCCAGAGGGAAGTGGTTCTAGTCCGAAAGCAAAGGGAGGTCTCAGATCAGTTTTGGACCTGCATCAGCTCAACAGATCTCTCAAAAAGAAAGTTTAGCTTGGTCACTCGGGCTTCCATTATCTCTCCCTGGATCCTGGTATGCTGTCCTCGATTGAAAAGACGCCTACTTTCATGTGGCAATTTATCAAGGTTACAAAGTGTTTTGGGTTTGTAACAAAGCAGTCCTGTGACCAGTTCACAGTGCTTCCTTTTGGCATGTCAGCAGCTCCCTGGGTTTTCACAAAATGTATGTCTGTGATAACTGTTTTCCTGATGAGGCTAGGAGTACAGGACTGCTCTTACCTGGGCAACTGGCTAGTCAGAGGCTGATCCGGGCTCAGGTACTGTCCAGCGTACATCTCATCCAGTCAACTTTTGAAGCTCTAGGTCTGCCGATCAACTTCGACTAGTCTATGTAGACAGGTCTAAACAGCTTCGTTTGTCAGCCCAGCTGTTCATGGCCATAGCAGACAGAACGGAGAGTCTCAAGGTCTCCTTGCAAAGAATTTCATCTTGCATAACTTCCTGCCTTCGTGTGCGTTATGACGTGGCAGGCGTTTCCCTGGTGAGCACCACAGCATCGCAAGAGGCCTCTGCGGTGTTCCTTGCACAAGTCCCTATCCTGGCCATTTGTAGGGCGGCAACCTGGTCTTCAGTTTACACCTTTGCACCCCAGTGTGCCATCACTCGGTACTGCAGAGACTCTGCTAAATTTCGACAAGCTATACTCCAGTCTGTGCGCATGAACTTGATCCCTCCTCCTACTTTATGGCCAGTGAGTGGCCAAGAGGGGAATGCAATCATGCGAAGAAGAAGAAATGGTTACTAACAGTCTGTAACTGTTGTTTTTCAAGATGTGTTGAATGTTTCAATTCCACAGCTGCCCTCCTGCCCCTTTGCCTTGGGGTTGTCCAGCAGGAAGGAACTGAGGGGGCTCAGGCGTGGCTGGGCCCTTTCCGCCAGCGCACAGTGGTGTGCAGCAGCAGAAGGCACTTGAGCTGCCCCAACGGGTACCACGGAGGGAAAAATTGATGGTGAGTGTGCATGGGGCACGCTCACGTGGGATGGACACGCGCAACACCTCTTGAGACCAACACTTGCTGAAGGTTAGTAACCATAGGGACCGAATGGCTAGACAGCAGTTCTGCAGAAAAGGACCTAGGGGTTACAGTGGACGAGAAGCTGGATACGAGTCAACAGTATGCCCTTGTTGCCAAGAAGGCTAACAGCATTTTGAGCTGTATAAGTAGAGGCATTGCCCGCAGATCGAGGGACGTGATCCTTCCCCTCCATTCGACATTGGTGAGGCCTCATCTGGAGTACTGTGTCCAGTTTTGGGCCCCACACCACAAGAAGGATGTGGAAAAATTGGAAAGTGTCCAGCAGAGGGCAACAAAAATAATTAGGGTACTGGAACACGTGACTTTTATGAGGAGAGGCTGAGGGAACTGGGATTGTTAGTCTGCAGAAGAGAAGAATGAGGGGGCATTTGATAGCTGCTTTCAACTATCTGAAAGGTGGTTCCAAAGAAGATGGAGCTCGGCTGTTCTCAGTGGTGGCAGATGACAGAACAAGGAGCAATGGTCTCAAGTTGCAGTGGGGGAGGTTTAGGTTGGATATTAGGAAAAACTTTTTCACTAGGAGGGTGGCGAAGCACTGGAATGGGTTACCTAGGGAGGTGGTGGAATCTCCTTCCTTTGAGGTTTTTAAGGTCAGGCTTGACAACCCTGGCTGGGATGATTTAGTTGGGGATTGGTCCTGCTTTGAGCAGGGGCTTGGACTAGATGACCTTCTGAGGTCCCTTCCAACACTGATATTCTATGAAAGATTCCCTTAAAATGTGGTATAAACCAAAACAATGAGAGGGTGGGGTGATGTGGTGGCAATGCACAGATGGGCACTTGTTGGACTGAGCAGCGTTATCTGTGGTTTTACCACAATCAGTCCTGGCATTGTTCCAGAACAGTACCAGTAGACAGTTGGCTCATCACCTAGTCTGTTCTTTCAGTGCAATCACTTTGCAAAGTGCTCTAGGATCCATTTGGAAGAAGTGAGTTGGAATGGCACATTAATACCTGGCTCAGGAAAGTTGAACACTGCTTATCCTCTGGGGGTGGGTAGCTCAGCTTCAAATCAAACCATAGCAATCAAAAGAGCAATTGTACAAAAACGTATCTCCAGTTCCATTGCCAAAAGGGCAGGAAGTACATAAGCTCCATCTGACCAGCGAAGAAAGCATTTGCATTGAAGGGTCTCTTACTGAGAACACTGTCCTCAGTCCCCCGTCTCCCCCCAGCTCCAGACTAGAGACCTAAGCAAGAATATCCCAGCTGAAATCAACTATCAAGTTGCAGTGTAAGGGGAGAGAAGGTATCAAAGATTGCTGGGATCCAAACCTGTGCGACTGTGTAGATCCATATCTGTATTTAAATTGGACCCAGAAATAACTGGAAACCAGTGCAGGCTACCTAGCACTGTGGAGTCTCATATGTCACTAAATCACCTAGTCCCAATGACCCCCGTTTTGTTCTGATTAAACAGTTCTTTGCAAGGCATATTCAATCTCGTCAAGTACTGTTTGTCGCTGTCTACGAGTTCACTCTAACTTGACTCTAACAAAAGGCCCCTTAAATCTGAGTATGGAAGGCATTGGGAGGGCTCCTCTTCAGAATCTTGTTCCCTGTCGTTTCCCTGTACTGACTTGTGTTGATGCGTTTGCATTTCAGTGTCATTGTATTTTTCTAAAAGGTCTGACTGGTGGAGTCGGCAGACTTAACGCAGCTAACAAATCTGTACCAAAGAAGCCTGTGTAAAGCTACCTTATCTCTCTTCACCAGTCCAGAGAAGCGTTTCGATAATGAAGATCTCCGCTAATGGGCCTAATGTGCAACTCAGAGAGGAAATAACTAAATTAAATGCCCATCCCATCTTTTTTTTTTTAAATAAGTTTACTTTTCTTATTCATCTTCCAGATCATCCACACAGACAGCAATACAGTACTGGGTCAAAATGACACTGGGTTCAGCTGTGATGGATCCTCCAGCACTTTCCGGGTCATGTTTAAAGAGCCTGTTGAGATTTTACCTAACGTCAGCTATACAGCCTGTGCGACACTAAAGGTACTGTAATGGGGCTCTAGGTGCAGTATGTGTATGGGAGGGAGAATTAATGGGTTTGCTGGTCTCGTGGGAAGTAACGTTGATCCTGTTTTTAGACCTCCAGGGTCTCTTCCTGTTCTTTGAAATTTCGCACTTATTGTTAGCTCCTTACCAGTAAGCAAGTGGCACGTCAGGGGTTAACATTCAGAGTTAGTTTTGTTTAGTAAATGTTTGCTAGGCAAGCTAACTGTGCTGGCTGCATTATTGCTGAAATTGTGTTTTTCTGGCCAGTGTAGATAGTCTTGGTTTTGTGAATTTATTTATAGTTATGCGCATTCTACACTAAGGAAGCAATATCCGTACATACTGTCAAGAACCGATAACATCGTTATATGGGTTAAACGATGCAACAATGGCCCTGTATACACTAGAGTTCAAACGTAAAAGCAGTTTTTGAAATGGGAAAGGGGCCTTCATTCTACCTTAGATCTTATGAAAGGCTTGTTCAAAATCTTCCTGTAGCTACTTTCACCTTTAGTCTTTCTATTTAGTTTGTAAACTCTTCAAGGCAGGTGGCTTTTCATGTGTGTCTGCACAGCCCTTAGCATAGTGGGCCCCTGATCTTGGGTGGGGCTTCATGGTGTTACTGGAATACAGTTGTATGCAAGGTCTTTGTCTCAGTGCTAGGAATACTTAGGTGCAGCTAGTTTTCAACCTGAGAATCCTCTTTGCATGTGAGTATTTTTGTGTATGCGTACATACTGACAGAACACATGGGAAAGCCTCAAAAACTTGACTCTGGTCCTAACAGTGCCCCAATTCCCTGTGGGAACATAGAAATGTAAATCTAGCCATGTGCTTCAGATGAGACCAATTAAGCGTGGTCATAATGGGTCAGTAGTTGGATGGGTGATGGAAAATCCGGTATTGCATGAAATGATTTAATAGTGTGGACATTGACTAGTGTTTGAATACTGTTAATGGGCAACATGGCTCTTGGAGGTCTCTTTCAGATGAGAATACCAGGGTTGTGAGCATTTGTCATACAGCGCTTGGAACTTTTTACAAGACTACCTAATTCTGAGTTCTTTTCAACTGGAAGCCTATGGCAGAGGGGATGTACAGTAGTGCTACTCAAAGTGGTGGTCCATGGACCGATGCCGGTCCGCGAGCCATCGGTTGCCAGTCTGCGCGCACACTGGGAAAAACACCAAAAGTTGCCAGTCCCCCACATCAGATAGCTTGCGAAGCACTGCTGTACCCGAAGAAGTGACAAGACTTCACAATAGCGAGAGAGAGTAGGGGGAGGGAATGGAAGATATAAGAAAGGTTGAATATGGGGTACAGGACGGATAGTGGAGTTGATGGAAGGCAGGGAGAGAAAAGCTGGACGAGCACAAGTCCATGGGGCTGGATGCGCTGCATCTGAGAGCGCTAAAGGAGTTGACGGATGTGATTGCAGAGCCATTGGCCATTATCTTTGAAAACTCATGGCGATCGGGGGAGGTCCCAGATGACTGGAAAAAGGCTAATGTAGTGCCCATCTTAAAAAAGGGAAGGAGGAGGATCCTGAGAACTACAGGCCAGTCAGCCTCACCTCAGTCCCTGGAAAAATCATGGAGCAGGTCCTCAAGGAATCAATTGTGAAGCACTTAGAGGAGAGGAAAGTGATCAGGAACAGTCAGCATGGATTCACCAAGGGCAAGTCAGGTCTGACTAATCTAATTGCCTTCTATGATGAGATAACTGGCTCTGTGGATGAAGGGAAAGAGGTGGATGTGTTGTTCCTTGACTTTAGCAAAGCTTTTGACACGGTCTCCCACAGTATTGTTGCCAGCAAGTTAAAGAAGTATGGGCTAGATGAATGGACTATAAGGTGGATAGAAAGTTGGCTAGATTGTCGGGCTCAACGGGTAGTGATCAATGGCTCCATGTCTAGTTGGCAGCTGGTATCAAGGGAGTGCCCCAGGGGTCAGTCCTCAGGCCGATTTTGTTCAATATCTTCATAAATGATCTGGAGGATGGTGTGGATTCCACTCTCAGCAAGTTTGCAGATGACACTAAACTGGGAGGAGAGGTAGATAGGTTACAGAGGGACCTAGACAAATTAGAGGATTGGGCCAAAAGAAATCTGATCAGGTTCAACAAGGACAAGTACAGTGTCCTGCACTTAGGACGGAAGAATCCCATGCACCGCTACAGACTAGGGACCAAATGGCTCAGCAGCAGTTTGCAGAAAAGGACTTGGGGGTTACAGTGGATGAGAAGCTGGATATGAGTCAACAGTGTGCCCTTGTTGCCAAGAAGGCCAATGGCATTTTGGGCTGTGTAAGTAGGGGCATTGCCAGCAGATCGAGGGACGTGATCGTTCCCCTCTATTCGACATTGGTGAGGCCTCATCTGGAGTACTGTGTCCAGTTTTGGGCCCCACACTACAAGAAGGATGTGGATAAATTGGAGAGCGTCCAGCGGAGGGCAACAAAAGTGATTAGGGGACTGGAACACAAGACTTATGAGGAGAGGCTGAGGGAGCTGGGATTGTTTAGTCTGCAGAAGAGAAGAATGAGGGGGGATTTGATAGCTGCTTTCAACTACCTGAAAGGGGGTTCCAAAGAGGATGGATCTAGACTGTTCTCAAGGGTAGCAGATGACAGAACAAGGAGTAATGGTCTCAAGTTGCAGTGGGGGAGGTTTAGGTTGGATATTAGGAAAAACTTTTTCACTAGGAGGGTGGTGAAGCACTGGAATGCGTTACCTAGGGAGGTGGTGGAATCTCCTTCCTTAGAAATTTTTAAGGTCAGGCTTGACAAAGCCCTGGCTGGGGTGATTTAGTTGGGGATCGGTCCTGCTTTGAGCAGGGGGTTGGACTAGATACCTCCTGGGGTCCCTTCCAACCCTGAGATTCTCTGATTCTATGACGGGGGGGGTTGGGTGCAAAGAAGTAATGAATAAAATGAGTAGCTGCCCAGTGAGTGTGTGAATTAGCGGTGGAGGTCTGTGCTTGGCTTTTTTTGAGCCTTCCCCTTGGAAAAGGAAAACCATCTCCGAAGCAAGTCAGCATCAAAACCTTGGACTGCAGAAAATAGCTGCTTGCTGTTGGTGTCTTAAAATATTTGAGATTTAGTAGCGGTGAGTTGCCGAGCGTCCTCAGCCCTGAGCACTTCGCAGAGCTGTAGGGATGCTAGTCACCCGGCAAGATCAGACCCTGAGTTCGTGACGGAGCTGCTGTAAGCAGCCTGGTTTCGCTCTGGCCTGGCTGTATTCCCTCTTACTAATGGGCTTGCCCCCTATTTTCTGTCACTCATGCAGGGTCCAGATTCTCACTACGGAACCAAAGGACTGCGTAAAGTGATCCATGAATCACCAACAACAGGAGCCAAAACATGCTTTACGTTCTGTTATGCGGCTGGGAATAACAACGGCACGTCTGTGGAGGATGGACAGATCCCAGAGATTATCTTCTATACATAGTGCAGCTGTTGGAATCAGATGTGTTGGAGGAACTTTTGTCTCCCCTTCTCCCTCTCTCCCACGCCCTTCCAAACAAAATCTCTGGCTGAATTCAGCCATGCCAGTGGGAGCCACGCTAGCCAAAGGTCTCAGTAAAATAATTGTAAAGCTCATGTTTTGCCTTGTGCTAGTGAAGCTGCTGCTGCTGCCACCCCCATGTACAGACTAACTGGTTTATCGGTGTCATTTATAGGTTGCCTGTGGCTAGTAACTCTTCATTTTACTGATAACCCTCTCTGATTTCATGGGTTTTTTATTGTCATGAATGTAGATGCTTTTACATCAGTTGGAAGCATGGAAACAAGTGGCTCTGATTGTGGTTAAATTCTCCACTAGGTGACAATCCTGCAAAAAGAAAATTCATATTGAGGATCATATTGACTTTTTCTTCCTCTGCCCTACTTGGGATTGGGATGAGAGGGTTTGCCAGGTCGATTCAGCTGTGCTGCCAAAATGGGGAGGTTTCTCTGAGAGAGGTTTCACTAAAACGTACCTGCCATACTGCCAGGCTGTACATACCTTTGCTCTTTTCAGAAAATTAAGGAAACGGGTGTTAATGGAGGTTTTCCTATTTCAGCACTACGTATTGTGGGAGACCTCAGAACGGCCTCCCAGCTCCAGGAGAGAACTTCTACAGAGATCAACCAGAGTTTTACATGGGCATTTTTGCTAATTTGAGACAATCCTTTAAGTTGGACAGTTAGTACAACCCAACGGAAACGCCCTGGGGCTAGATGACCCTGTACGTAGGTGGAGAGGCCCAGTAGATCAGCACTTAGCAGAGCACCTTTGCTACCTACATGCAGGCTCCCCTGCTTTGGCCTGGGGGTGCTTTTGCAGTTTTGTCTGTATGCTGTTTAAACAAATGGGGGATGTTAAATATCCCCTGTGCAGCGTTTAGCAGCAGGGAATCCATACTGGTAGCTGCCACGCTAACTGAATCCCTTCCACTTCGAGGTAGCAGTTGTCCGTGGCTGCTTCTACCTGACAATGTGCCTCGCTTGGCTCCAGTGTAAAGTATATGGCTGCGGTCTTCAGGCAAGTTGCAGCATGGCTCTTCTACTGTCTTGTTTTCTTTGCTTCACTAACTGTTCATACTGGGTCAGAGCTCTGCTGCCAAAGAGGAAGGGGGTTTGGTGTTCAAGTGTCATTTCTTTAACCATCAGCAGATGGAGTGGGATTTATGAAACAGAATAGAAAACGACTGAAGAGTTTCTGCTTGTCCATGCACATTTGTCTGTCCCCTCACAGCTAGAGCCTGTTCAGTGGGTGTTTGGACAGACTGTCTCAGCATGACGCTCTTACTGGAGACTCCTGGTTGACTTAAACAAAAGCTTTAACACCAGACATCGATGGGGGTGCTTTGATGGCAAAAGAGCCTCCTCCTCTCCCCTTATCTCTGTTCAAAACTGGTTGCCTCTCGCCATAAACAGATGTGATTTCAGCTGAGCATGATGCTGCTTTGATGGGAAGTAGCTGTGTGACTTTGTTTTGTAACTGCCTGAATGGTCCCACCCTTGCCCTGACTAGCGAAGACTAAAGGGATTTTTACTTCCCAGCAGCCTGCCGAGGAGGAGGGTATTTGAAATAAAGGCTGCCTTCGTAAGATTGGGTGGCCAAACCATTCAGAGGTGTTGGTGTGGAATTAATTAGTGCATGATTGTGTTGTCTCTGATAAGTTGAGGTTCATTAAAAAGTCTTTGTGTGTGTGTCTCTCTCTCTCTCTCTCCACTGCTCCAGACATGGTCTTATGACAGGGCTCCCTTGTTGCATTTGTGATAGCAGTCCCTGAGCAAAGCATTACATGCTGGTCATCCTCTACTGCAATGGATGATTTGGTGCCTGTTGCCAGTTGGGAAATAGTATCCCATTCTGACACCACCACCTCCCCCGGGCATGCCAGAGTAACCGGGTCTAGGTTCTGTGGCTGGCTGGCTGGGTAACTTTCCACCAGCCAGACAGCAAAAATAAAGATCAGGAATTAATGTCACCCAGAAATAATCCGTGTAGGTGTTAGATACTGTTGTCAGTGTGTTCTGTTCTTTAGGAAGACATTGTGAGATGTATATTGTGAGCCTGCTTGAGAGTAGGCAGTTTTTAAAATACGGCCAGTACTGAAAATGGTGGGTCCACTACTCAAGTTATTGAACCTGATTCTGTGCAATGCAAACATATTCTGAAATGGATTAACAGAATGGAGATGCTCCTTCCTCCAAGAGGGAAACTGCCTTCTGTTGGAATGTACATAGCTGACCTGCCTGCTTTTGCGCTCCCGTTTTTCCCCTCTTCTTGTCAAAGGTTGTGGGAATACGTCCATCAGGGTTCGGGGCTTCTTTGCCCATTTTATTACTTTCGGTGTAACCTCTTTGCTGTGGATATAGCACTCCCTGAGCATTTCTGTATAAAGTGGTAATAGCAGAAATGATTGGACCCTGGAAGAAGTAAATCTGCACACTGGTCCATGAAAATAGCAGGACACGTAAGGCATTTAGCCTCAAGATGTGGTTGAGGTGTAGACCTACCTGGTGGCTTTTTCCTTTTAAGGCTTATGTTTTTAATACTCCCTCCTTGCAGTCTTGCTTTCAAGCCACAAGGCAGGTAGGTTGCTTTAGACTATCCTGCTGAAAAATGTTTTAAAAAGAAAAATTAAACTCTGAATAACATCTGAGCAATTTTTGTTCTTAGGGCTTTATGCGGTTTGAGGCGATTTTGTCTTTTGTAGATTCATTGTGGAACATGCCTGTCTCCAAAGTATAAGAAGTTTCTATTGTATCATGTCACCTCAAACAGAGCTGGCAACGTCTAGACTCTAGTGCTATATTAATGAATGTATCAAATGCTCATTCAGTGTTCACGCTCTTTGCTTTTTGCCAGCTTTGTGATTTTTGTAAATAGGAAATCAATAAAGACATTGAGATTGTCTTTAATACAAAGTTTCATGAGTGGAAGAGAGCAGCTAGCAAAACAGAACCTGGCAACTTCCAGGAGTCTGTCTTCAACCAGTGTGGAAAGAGAACTGAGATAGCTGATGCTGGCAGGGTCCTTAATTTATTTTCCCTGGGTGCTCTAAATTGCTGTGTAAATTACTGTAAAAGTTCAACCCTTGAAGCAATGTACAAGTATATTTTCCTTTGTTCCCCTTGACATTCTGTCTTGAAAAGTGTTCAGTGAAAGAAGTTAATGGAGGGAGGTGGTGGTCTGAGAAATATGTCGGTATATACAAGAGAGAGAAAGTGAGTTGCCTTAAGTTTTCCTTTCCACCCCCCCCTCGTCTCTTTTATTTAAACCCAAGAATGTAATGATGAAGCAGCAGCTAAACGGTCTTCAATTCCTCTCTCAAAGGCAGACTTCAAACTATTTGACTAAAGCTAGGTTTTACTACTGGCTCTGCCATGAACCCAGAGGGGAGGAAACGGGGCCCCCCCAAGGGGGGGGGGAGAAGAGAAGCCAGTGTTGGGCAGGCCTAGCTGAATAAACAAAAGGCAGCTGTAAGTGTCTCTCTTCTGGACACACCAATCCTGTAGTGAGCAGGTTTTGTTTAAGGGAATTGCATACCCCAGGTGCGTGTGCCCAGCCCTGTGCAGCCATCTCTTCCCTCCAGGCCTGGGAGGCAGCTGACAAAGGCTCATAAGCCTATTCAGAGCAGTAGTCAGCTTAGACCTCCTTGATTCATTCCTCCAGCATCCACAGCTGGGCAAGACCAGTCAAACCCCAGCACCAGCCTGGGCTGTCACTGATCAACCTTAATGCCCTTGCAATCACTCAGTCAGAGCTGGTTTGAGGCTGACTGCAGATGTCCCTGCCACATCTATTTAGACCAGGCTACTCAGACCTCAGTGGTTCAAGAGCCAAAATTACCCAAAAGAGCTCCTGCACTGTGAGTGAAGGGCTTCATTTACTACAGTAAATTCTATATATTCATAGTTAAACAGTATGAGGGGAAATATTTAGTTTATATATTCTCACAGCAAATAAATTTAACAGTGCACATGGATAACTTAATTGGTAATAATTAAAGCAGTGTTTTAATAAGTGCTGCCACCAGCAGCATGTGACACAAAAGAACCCCTTGCAGGCCTGAGCCTAGGCTGTGTCCCACAAAGGTGCAGCAAATGCCCCACCTGCCCATCAATGCTGGTGCCTGTTTATGTTTAAGGCAGTTACACAACTGTCTAACTGGAAATGAAGGAATTACTCCTGCCACAGGCCCTCGCCTTCTCACAGCATCACCCCAAAATAAATCCTGATGGAAACTGGGGGGGTTGGATTTTTTTCTTTCTTTATTTTTTTTAAAAAGCCCCTAAATTCTGTGGCTTCCAGGACGCAGCAGAGAAATGTAAATACCAGGTCTGGACGCTTTTATTTAAAGCCATAACTAAACTTGCACTGGACCACCGCCCTTCTGCTTTGGAGCTACACCAATACAGACCATAGACCATGTGAGTACAGCGTCCCACTGCTCCCTCCAGCTCAGCCAGCCCTAGGGCCTGACCATTCCCTGGGGCAGGAAGAGAGTCAGAAGACAGAGTTGGGCAAAGGCCCTGGCCTCTTTCCCTTTTATTTCCTCGTAAGCCTGCAGGAGGTTTGTCTGAAAAGACAGATGGCAAATGGCAGTCCAAGTACGCACATGCACCCACTCACATACATACTTTATTTTACACCTTCGGGGACTGGAAGAACAGTTCCAGTGAAGATTTAAGGCGGTTTCATTTGCATTGTTTGGGAAACAAGGTCAAACATTGCACATAACTAAATACCATACAAAGGTCCTGATTTGGTGGAATTCATTGAGTTGTCAAGAACCAAGCGCTCTCTAGCAGCTGGCTGTGCACTCCTTGTGTAGCTCCCGGTGCAGCTGTCCCTCCCCACCACCTTGGTTCTCTTGAGCACGACAGAGGCACTGCTGTTGAAGTAAAACTGCAGACAAGAATACGAGGCTGCGTCTGATTCACAGTCCCTAGGATCTTTAAAGGGGCACCGACCTTCCAGCTTAGGGTGGATGCTGGGGAAGGAGGAAGCCACTTGAACTAGCTTAAGCCTGTTTTTAGGCATTCAGGACTGATTTAAATGAAAGGAATTTGGCTGGAAGAGAGACAAAGCCTCTGTACTCCAGCAGGAATGGGAGAGAAATGTGCCAGGCTCCCCCTGCCTGTGGGCCCTAGTCCCCTCCCCTACAGCCATATATTCCTACCCCCAGCCACTCACGTGCTGCAGCAACAGGATAGAGTAGCCCATATGGCTCGCTGGCGAATCAGCCCAGGACCCCATTCCGAGGGCCTCTGCAGAAGAGTAAAGCAGGACGTACCTAGCACAAGTGGCGTTTGAGGACTTCCCACACGCTCCCCCTTTGCGCCTGCAAAGGATGGCAGTGTTTATTTCAGACAAAGGCTTTGATCCTCCTCCTGCACAACCTCAGAGCAGCTTCCAGCTCCTACAGCTCAAACATTACAAGTGTCATAATTACACAGAAAATAAAAAAAACCCACATGCTACTTCCCCACCCCCCTGCCCTGTAAAAAAACAACCCCAAAGTCAAATTTTGTTGCCGTGGTAAATACGCACAACCAAACACACATTCTCAGTCGTTTCACACTGAATTAAGGTTGGCTGTTGTGCCCCTTGTGGCTGTTTAAAGGTTTGTGTGTGTGTGTGTGTGTTTAAAAAAAACCCCACAACTAGGAACTGCCACATGTGATCAGCTAAGGAGTAAGCACATGGGCCTCTGATTGTTGGATGAGCTGAGTGGGCCAGCCTAGGGCTCCAGCTCCATGACTGGACTGGCAAGCAGGCAGGGAGGGTTTCAACCTTCATAAGGTTCGCTCCAGCCGTTCCAGAAAGGAGAGTCAGTGGACAAACAGAATGGCCTAGCTGGGTCTATCCTAGTGGGGGTTACTATTTCCCAGCAAGCTACAAATCTGATTCACTCCACGCTGCCCCTTTTGAGTGGGACATGGAACCCCAGGGAGTTTTAACCATTCCTCTCCAACTGGCCTCTCATCCTCCCCTTCTTCCCCCAGGGAACATGCACACTGCTTCCTTACTGCACTGGCTTGGTTTTGGTTCATTTAGGAGGCTCATGGTCCTCCCGGGAGGTCCCTGCTGATCAGAATGTCAGTTGTGGGGAGATTCACTGGGTTGGGGGCTTGGACAACAGGAAAGTCTTTTTTAAAAAAAAGTCCAGTTAAGCAACTTCACATAAAACGAGGACACTGAACTCTCATGCCAGGAGTATAAGCAGGACTCAGCTATCCCCTGTGCTTAATAAAAACATCCTAAGCTGTCCTGTGCGCCAGGAAGCAATCCCCACCCCAAGGCTCATTGCAGGGACCATTAAGACATCCTTTTTCTACCTTGCTCTTCAACATCAAGTTTCCCTTTGGTCTTGGCCAGGTGCCCCCAAGGTAGGTTGCCCATTTCAAATGGCTGAGGGCGTGGCTTCAGGGTTCTGATAAGCTCCCAACCATTCCTGAGACCCTAAATTTGGCTCCCCCCCACCTGCTTTCCCCTGTTAATTACTAAACTGTTAATTTCAAGACCAAACATCGCTTGTATTGCTAGCAAAAGTGCATCGTAAAACAAAAGTGTAAACGAGTCCCTCCTCCACGCATCACCGTACCAGAGACTCGGCTAACACAGCGATCAATCGCCACCACAAGGAAAGAGTTTTAACCAAATGGCGGAAGGGGAGCTTACAGGGAAAACACAATCTTTAAAAGAAAAGCAGAATTTCGTAACACTAAAAAGAGGAAGGTCAAAGACTGACAACTCAGCACTCTGCACCGAGACTTAAATTAACTTCAAAGACAAAGAAGCGACAGGGAAAATAAAAATTCTCCATAGCCCACCGCTCTTGAAATTGTCTTCGGCTTCTTCTATGCCAGCAATGTTTTTCGAGTCTGTAGAGTTGATCCCCGTTTTCAAACTAGTTAATAGAATCAAAAGAAATTCACGTTGTGGGTTTGGTTGGTTGGTTTCCTTTTTTAAATAGCTTAATGCTCTCCGTGGACTGCACGATAGACGGGTGTGGGAACGTCGGCAAAGTCTGACTTGGTTTGAGTAAACGACCATTGGGTGGATGTGGTGGTGGTGGAGGAAAAGTAAAGCAGTTTGGGAACTTCCCTCCCCCCCCTCCCCATCCACACGTGGTGCCAGGCGGTGAAGTCATGACGGCTCTTCCCCCACCCCCATCAAAATCAGAGGGAGGGAAGGCCTTGCAGATCTGATCAGGAATCTAGACCCATCCATAGCCAGAGTTAGAGGCGATACTGCACAAACTGATCCGTGCTGTCCCTGGCAGATCACTTGTGGCGCTGGATGGTTTTTCTCTTCCTCCTCTTGAAGAAACAGCAGCATCTGCAGAGACAGGCAGACTGTCACGCCCCTAGACTGCACTTGTCCTCTCTAAGGCCAACAGCAGGTTCCTCCCGATTCCAGAAGGGATTGGACATTGCAAGGGGGAATGAGAATATCTGGAATCGTGGCAGTTCATGATAACATGGTTTTTTGGTTTTTAGTTTTGTTTTTTTTTTTTTTGGGGGGGGGGCTTAAGCTGATCTCTATTAGCGACCAGGAGGTGGCCTGTGTGGGGGCAGATTCTCCCACATCTGCTGCTGGGAGGTTCTGACACCTTGCCTCCAAAGCAGCTGGTGCTGGCCACTATCAGAGAGGGGATATTGGACGAGATGGACCATGAGTCTGAACTCATCTGGCAAGCCTCACACTTCTAAAGACCAGCGAGAAGTGGGTTTGGGTCCCATCTCTCTCTCGTTCCCTGGTCACTGAAAAGCCCAGACCTCAAGTCACTGGACGCTGGGGGTGGGGACAGTGTTTTTCACAGGAGTTAGGGGGGCACGAGTGAGATCGCGACCCTTCGGAAACAGACGCGTGCTCAGGCAGATGAAGATGCAATGCTGGTCAGCGTGAGAGCCCATGATCCCGCCCATGGCTGCAGCGCCCAGGCCGGGGTTTAGGGGAGAGCCTGCGTGGCCACGCAGCCTGTGTTCCTGGGAACTAGAATGAACCCCAGGGTCTGTCTCTGGCCAGGAACCTCAGCCCAGCATCCCCGGCAGATTTAAAATAGACAAATCCTGGCTCTTGGGAGACACCACGTGGCGACATTAGGCAGAGCAGGCTGCAAGCTAGAGAGAACGGCAGGGTGTGTCCGCGTCCAGCCGCCTCGGTACAGAATCCCCTGTCGATTCATTACAACTCAGTCCCCTCGATCCTCTACACAGGGGAGAAGGATACAACTGCTGCAGCCAAACACAGCAGCAAATAAACCCCAACAACCCATCCAGTGTGGCCAGTGCAGCAGCTGCCAACCCCCCACCCCCCCACCCCAAAAAGCAAACGGCAGGCGCAGCCGGGTCCTTACTTTGTATCATCCGCTACCTCCACCTCAGCGGGTGCTGTGATCGGGGCATTCGAATGTCCCGCGGTCGGGTCGTCCGTGTTCAGTTCTCCGTTGGTGGAACTCATCACCTGGGAGGAAAAGTTGGACAGTCAGAGACTGGAGAGCCGAGAGCCTGTTCATTGGCCCTGCCCCGTCTGACACTGAACCCTGCATGGAGTAGGGAAATAGATACAGCCCAACAATGCCCAAACTGCCTTCCCCACAGGGCGCATTATATACGGCAGGGGGCAGGTCAAAGCAGCACCCCTGTAGAGAAACTGCCACAATGTAAGAGAGCCAAGTTTCCTTCCGAGCACCCGGCCTGGGAGGCAACCTAGAGCTACCAGCGGTTGGGGGGAGGGACATGCCAGTACCCGGGACTGCTTTGCCTAGGGTGGCAGCACTGCTGAATCATACCTGCCCCTGGCCAAGCTGGCAACGAGTGCCATAGGTGCTGGACTAGCTAGAGGGGCCGGGCCTCAGCCTCCCAGCACTCTGCCATTGAGCGAGCTTGCATCGCTTGCGGAGAGGAACGCCCTCCTGTCTCCTTGCAGCAGAGGAGGGGTTTTCCAGAAGGCTATTCGGCAGGGCCTGCCACACAACACGCCTGGGAAGGGCCCAGATTTCATTTCTGTAGCACGTTTTCAAACCCGGCTCTTCCTGTGTGATCAGACCCAAAATCTGCGAGCCTCAGAAACTGCCTCCCAATGGCAACCCAGCGAGCCGGGCAGCGCTTCACTCCATGGCCATTCACATCCCAGAGAACGACCAGGCCAGTGGGGCAGCAGTGCACCAAGGTGGTGGTCATGGTGGTGGGGGCGGTTCTGTTCTGCTCCCAGTACCGGTTTTGTTCCTGAGCAGTAAAAACAAGTAGGGGAAGGCTAAAGCTCCTGGGCCCGCCCTGAGGTTTGAGCTATTCACATGCTCTGGATGCCCACTAACTTCCACTGTCCCAGACACGCTGGCCCGCCTTGGACCCTCGCCCTAGCGCTGTATCCTGTGCTCACACGCTGTTGGTGACCATCCTCAGTGCCGGCCCTTCCCCTTGCAGCCGCTGACGCCGGCTCACGCAGCAGACGGAACAGAGCAGCGCCACCAACGGCTGCGACGCACCAGGGCCAAGCCCCTCGCCCGCTGGCAGGTCCTGCGACCTCACCACACACCGCTACCGAAAGGAAACCGGCAGCTGCTTCCCAGCAGCTACAATCTCTAGGGAGCCACCGTCCCTGGGCGGGGATCGCTTCCGGTTTCGCTGCCCATGCTCCTGGGAGACGGAATCGAAGTGGCAAGAGGAGGGGACGGGCCAGCACTGCAGTCCCTGAGCAACTCTGTTTGATCCCCTCCTCCCCTCTTCACTCTGCCCTCTGGGCAAGGCCAAGTTACCTGGCTGATGTCCAGGCCTAGTACTTGGACTCGGCAGTCCCCACCTTGCCCAGCACTGGGGGAAGCGGCACTATGCAAACTCACGCCCAGCCGCAGTGACACAGGCTGCGCCTTCAGGGCAGCGCCGTACGGTCGGGTCAGCGGCCAGGCCACACGTGAACAGCGCAGAGCGGCCGCCACATTGCGCCAGCCTCCACCCCCACTGGGGCCAGCCCCCTGGTGTTAGCAGCACCCCCACATTGGAGCTATAACTCCAGTTAACTGCGGTGAAGACAAACCCTGAGACTAGAGAGCACGCCGAGGGGGGAGAGCACGTTTCTAGTGGCCATTGCCACAGGAAGCAGAGTGGTGCAGCGAGCACGGTGGGGGATGGTCTGGGTGTCCCTTGCCCACTCACGAAGGCCGGTGGTAGGAGCAGGAGCCAGGGAGAACACACACGACTCAAAGCTCTGCTTGGGAGAGTTAGGTGAGCTTTGCCCCAGGAGCCCCGTGGCAGGGGAACAAATCAAGTGAGGAGAGACAGACAAGCACAGGGACTAGTGAGGAACGAGGACAGTTGTGGGAAGAGTTATATGGAACGAGGGTGAAATTCACCGAGGCCCAGCACACAGTCCAGGGCCCAGCTAAGCCCGTGAATTTCTCCCTTTCACCACGAGACACACAAAGCAGAGGTGCCCCAGTTTGTGGCAGGGGGATTCTTGACCCTAGCGGAGACGTGCTTCAACACACACCCAGGACCATCTGCAAGGGGCTGGGGTCACAGAAAGAAGGAGAGGACGACGACTATGGGGCAGGATTAAGCACTGCCTGCAGATCTGAGAGCGGACATGGTTTCAAGCTCAGCTGATGCTGGAAGTGGAAGAGGGGAGACAGAGGAGCGGAGGGGTGAACCTGAGCACCAGAAAGGGAAGGAGAACCGTGGGATGGGCTTAAGGGACAAAGCCAGAGATTCCACATCCACAGATGGAAACGAAAGGTTGCAAAGCCCCAATCCTGGGGATAAACACAAATCGCGCCCAAAGGATGCTGCTGCAGCCGGAGTTTTGTGGGACGGGGCCTTTCCCCGGTGGCCTGTCCCCCACTTTGGGAATACCCCCTCCACTCCCACTCAGCACACTGCATGTACCTGCACGGAACCCCCAAGCCTGCTGGTCGCTAGGTGAGTTCCTAGAGGTTCCTCGGCAGGCTGCTGACTAGCCTGAGGATCACACAACTCGTTCCCCTCGGGCGACTGCTAGTGACCGGCAGGACAGGAAACAAAACAGAAGAAGAAGAAGAAGGATGGAGACGAAGGGGCAGGAACGGTAGGGGAGAGGAGTCAAGAAAATAAGACATGCAAAAGCAAAAATATAAACAGAGAAGCACTAGTGTGTTAAGGCAAATAAACCAGCGTGGTCCCCAGTGAAATCCCATCCGACTGGAATGGTCTGGGACTCAGAGCCCTTTGACCGGCTGCTGGTCCATTGATTGGGTTCACGCTTTACTCACACCTTTGCTTGTGCACGTGGGCACGTTCACCGCCCTCCCTCCCCCCCCCCGCCCTAACGTGTAAAGATCTCTTGGGGTCTCTGGTGCACTAGTCCAGAAAGATAAGGCACTTGATCTGCTGCCCTCCGCTTTGGCCAATGCTGAGACGTACTGCTGGCTTTTGGAGAACGCTAGCGGCGGAAGCTGTTTCGCCATGCAGAGGGGACAAGCCGTGTTTTAAAAAAGAGGTGGGGGAGCTGACGCTGCCTGAGGTTTGATTTTGCAGAGTGAAGACTGACAGAAATTAAAGCTACGGGTCTATCTTCCCGTCCCTGCAGGGTTTAAAGCTGGAGGATTCAGGAAAGATCAGGGCTTAGAGTAAACTGGGTGATCATTAGGAATCTAGATACAGCGAAGAACTGGCACCTCCTGTGTATCAGATCCTCTGGGATTGCACTGGGCCTCTCGTTCAGTAAAGAGCCTGGTGTAGTTACCGCACTATGGACAGCCTTCCACTGGGGATGTTACCAGTCTCCCTTCTTCCCACCACTGCTGGTGGCCCGTCAGAGAGAGAGAAGGTCCCATGGATAACAGACTAGGGGATGAGCCAGGAGTCCTGGAGAATATTCCCTCTCCATAAAAGCGGTGGGACTGCTGGGTCGCCTGTGCCACCCACACCCAGCTGGTTCGGATGTCTGCACCGGGTCCAAAAGCCAAACCCAGCTCCATTTGGCCAAGGTAGTGGTGACTTGAGGTCCCACCACTGCTCCTGAGCACCAGGCTTCAAGAGGATTTATTTGGTTAAGTTAAGGCAAAGGGAACCCAGTTCTCTCCAGCTGCTGGCTGAGGAGGCTGAACCCTGACAAAGGCTGGATGTGAAACCCGCTGGTCCCCCCATACTCTGGGACGAGCAGTTTTTAAACTAAGTCTTGAACATGCAGCATCGCCTGGAATCAAACCCCCTTTGTCAGGGCATGAGACCAAGTCACAAGAGAGCGCTGATTACTTGGAGCTCAGCCCGGTCACACTAATGTCCTCCCCACTCCATGGGTTTCCTTGGCTGTCCCATCTTCTGGGAGCATCACAGCAGGAGGCCAGTTAGCTAGGACTCTACCCTGCTTTCCTATAAGCTAAGCCAGGCCAAGTTCCCTCCCCACCCCAACGCAGAGCCAGCAAGGGCACCCTCTCCACGTGGCCATTCCTCACTGGCCCCTGGGAAGAGCCGCCTCAGCAAAGTGCGCTCCTGGTTCCTAGGGCGAGGCTGCCACGTGCTGTTCTCTTGCCAGCAGCAAAGTTGGGCTCCACTGAACTGATTCCAACTCAGCCCAGCGGTGTCTCCCAGACCTGAGCTGTCTTCACCCATGTCTCTACCCCGCCTTCCCGCCCCAGAGAGAGAGACAGAGGCTGGGTCTCCTCCACATAGTGGTGACTGCTGAGATCAAATCACCTGCGGCTCTCCCCATGGGGCAGTATGGAGAGACTCAAATCAGCCGGCCAGCCCAGCTCCCATCAGAAGGGCTGGTTTAACTCAGCTGAGCACTCCCACAGTCCCCTTCATGGTCACCCAGGTGGGGCGACAGAATCAGGCTGCCCAGCTGATTCCAGTGTGGCAGGCTGCACCAGCGATCCCAACACAGCCCCACAGAGGGTTGTAGGACTCTGCCAAGGCAGCCTCAACACCAGCTCAGGGCCTCTGGACTCACCAGCAGGGCCTTTCCACCGTCACCCCAAGGACCTGGGCATGCATCGGGGCAGGGATGTCACATGGGAGTCTGTCCTGGAAGCCACAGCTCTCCGGACGCTGCTCAAGGAACTGGACTGGGATCGCGTGACACCAGCACTGGGACAGACCCAAGAGGTGGTTCTGAGACTGGCCTGAAGGCCCGTCAGCAGTGAACTGGTCTCACCCATGCGCTGGGCTCTAGTCAGTGCCGAACCCAAGGAGGACAAGGTCCCAACTGATCCCCAGCCAGGGCTCCATGACGCACATGGTCCCACCTTGCGTCCACGCCCCCTGGTGCCTTGACAGCAGGTCAGCCATGTACCAACTGCACTGGGCCTCCAACACCCTGTCCTCCCAAAGCACCCAGGCCTCCCATGAGCCAGCCCAGTACCGAGAGCACTGGCCCAGCAGCGCTTGCAGGGCTGCGACAGGGATGCAGAGGCAAGAAACCCTATGGACTTGCACTTTCCATAGGGCTATGCCCCACCTCTCTGAAGAATCCTCCATATCCCTCCTAAGGGCTTTCCATTTCCCCCGCACCTCCACACCACCACCTTCCCTCTGGCCACGGAGAAAGGGACTGGCCAGCCGATGTCTCTCCTGGATCGGGCAGAGGAGATGCCAGCCTGCCTTTCAGCCTTCCAGTCCCCACAGGAATGGCTAATGATGTCTGGACCCCTCCTCCCCACAGCTTCCCCTATGAATCGGTTTGCTCTGCCCCACCATGGCCAAGCTGCTCTGTCGCTGGGACCTGGCCCGGCCAGCGTGGCCGGGGGCAGGCAGGCGGGTGGCTCACCTGGTGTTTGGTGTGTGGCTGTGCTTTGTCTCTGTTTGGAGGCTGCACCTGGACGTCGCTGTGGATTGTGCCGATTGGAGTTGGCTGCAGATCAAGACACCAGGAGGAAAAATCATCAAGAAAGGCCCATAATCTCCATGCAGGCCATGTGTGCCTTGGGCTTTCACTACCATCCGGTGGGGAGAGGGCCCGGGAGCTGGGGGAGGGCCCAGGCTGACTATGTGGAGGGCGGGATTGTGGCTCATGTTATGAGGGGAGAGATCTCACTCCTGGGGGCTGGGACTGGTTTGGGCTGGCGCCACTAGAATGAAAATAAAGCCTGGGGTCCAAGTGGCTGAGACAATGTGTGTGTTCTGGGTGGGGGGCAGACAAGGGACTGAGCCGTGGAAAGGAACTAACAGGAGGATGGGGGGGAGCTAACCTCTCAGGAGCCAGAGGGGAACTAAGCAGCTGTAATCACACCCAGTCAAGCTCTGCCTGCTGCTCCCATGTACTTCGAGCCAGAGGCAGCCATCCAGCCCCTCCCCACAAGGGGCACTCGGGATCTTCCCCCTGCCCCACCTCCATTCAGCAGCACTTACTAGCGGCTTCCCGGCCCAGTCGTACTCGTAGTCGAAGACGTAGCCGCTCCGGTCGAACAGGTCCGTGAAGAGCTTGCGCAGGTAGTCGTAATCCGGCTTCTCGAAGAAATCCAGCCGCCGCACGTAGCGCAGGTAGGTCGCCATCTCCTCTGCGGAGGCACAGCGGACTCAGTGTGGCCCGCGAGCTGTGCGGAGGGAGCACCCGGCGCAGGGGAGGAACGAGGCAGCAGGGAAATACCCAAAGAGGCTGGAGGGTGTTGGACCGAACTGCACAAACGCAGCCCTGAGACGGCTGTAAGGGACAGCCACAGGGAGAGATCCTACCCCACTCTGTCCCCCCACCCCACTGTGGCAGCAGACAAAGGCTGGGGGAGAAGTCCAGCAAGCCCAGGTTTCAGAGATGGGGCAGGAGGGGGCGAGGCGGCAGTGAACGGTGTTGCAGGGGACCGAGCTGTGCAGTAACCCATAGGTGGCAGTGTAGCTTAGTATATAGTACACCAGACTGGGATTCAGGAGACCTGGGTGCTAATCCCAGCTCTGCCACTGACCTGCTGGGTGTCCTTGGGCAAGTCCTGTCCCCCATCCGTGCCTCAGTTTCCCCTCCCAGCTTCTGGCTGTCAGGTCTATTTAATGCGGGCACGACCGCCGGCCCCTCGCTGCTCTCCCAACTTGAGCAGTGCTCTTACCTGGGAAGTTTTCACACAGAACTTCGACGGGGGTAGCTCTTTTGGTATCTCCGATCTTCTGATACCGCTCCTTCAGCGTGTCAGCCTAGAACGGGGAGCATGGGCGAGAGCTCGGCAGGGCACCGTGGACAAGCGTCACGCCCGCCCGGATGGCCTGGCAGGAGCACACTGGCCAAAACCCTAAGCCAGGGTTTAGGAGCTGACTGGGCTTCCCACCCCCACCATCCGGCTACCCCGCTGAGCCATCAAAGGTTTCAGGAGAGGCGGGGAGACTGGGCAGCAGGACAGTCATGCCTAGAGCAGCAGCAATACCAGCCAGAGAGGGGGTGCATATTCCACTCCCCTGACTACCATATGGCATGAGGCGGGAGAGCCTGGCTGGCGGCTATCAGGGACTGACAGGGCCGAGCTCCCAGAGACACAGCCGTGCAGACCTCGCTGGGCACAGCCAGGGACACAGCGTAGGAGAGTGAGGAGGGGAACAGCGGCGACTGGCTTGTTACCAGGGCCTCTTTGGAAACCAAACCCACCTGGTAGCCCAACAGGCCGAAGGGCCAGCCACCAGGCGGGTTGGTAAGTCACCAGCCTGAGGCCCAGCACCGCGGGCCCTGACCGTGGCCGGAGTGGGATTCGTCGGAGAAAGGCTAACACAACGCACGTAACAATCTGCGCTGCAATATAGCCACCTCTCCGGCACAGCCTCAGCTCCCCACTGTGGGCAAGACAATACCTCAGCAGCCACCCGGCCCCCGGGGAACGTGGGGACAGACCGAGCAAGTGGCTGGTCCAAGGCCACGGAGAAACAGCGACAGTGAAGGAAACAGACCTGGAAATCCCCACCCCTCAGCCAGCGCATCTCAGCCTCCGTCTCACCCCTGGGAGAGCAGCGGCCCTAAGGGCTTGGACTGCTTCGGGAGGCTGACCAACACCAAGCACTTCTGAGCCTCCCCCGCCAAGTCTCCCATGAGCCACAAGCCCCCCCCCGCACCTCCAGCAGGAATTTCCACACAGAAGGAAATTTAAAATACGAATGGTTCCTTGTTGCAGATTTAAGGAACCCGGGAGCTGGGGCTGGTACCCGATGAGTGAACTCAGCACTACGCTGCTTGGTGACTGACGGATGGACTGAGTTTGGGAAACCTTCGGGTTCCTATCCTGCAAACACCCATGCGAGGAACAGACTGGCATGCGTAAGTGTTGGCAGGATCGGGGCCCTGCTGTCTGTGAGGGCAGCCCACCGGGGGGAGAGGTGTAGATGGCCCCGCTCTGGACAGTTCTATCAAGAGCTTTTTTGGGTCTGGGCCCATTTCTGAGGGTAGCTGAAATTGACAATTACTCACATTTTCCCGATTTAAATCCATACTACAGCACCCAGCCAGCCAGCCAGGCACCTGGGCTCAAACCAGAGCACCCACGCGAGTGTGTGTTGATGCTGTCAGGCCCCTGTTAACTTTACTCCATCCACCCTCGCGAACTCAGGGTGGGATCTGCGCCCCCCTGCCAGCCATGTGAGAGAGACAGGTAGGGCCTTGTGCTCGCTCAGCACCCAGCAAGGACGGCGGCCAGATGGCACTTACCTTGAGCCCTTGCCAAGGGAGGCTGCCCCGCAGGAAGTACATGAACATGTGCCCTAGCGCTTCCAGGTCATCCCTACGGCTTTGCTCTGGGCAGAAGAGGGAAACAGTAAGTGCCATGGGCAGATCCCTCAGAGGGCAGAGCTGCCCCGCGCCGCGCCCTGCCCCCGGCACCACCACCCCGTCGCGCCCTGCGGCAGCTCCTTCAGTGCAAGGAGCCCAGGGCAGATCACGAGAGCGAGCGAGGCCCAGACTTGCTGAGCTGCTCGGACAAAGCAAAAGCCGTTAACAAAGGGGCTTTTGAGGGCCACGTAACCCTGAGTATTGCGGCATCTGGGCTCCCGGGGGGGCCCAGGGCTGGTACAGAATGAGACCAGGCTCTGGGGAGCTCGCTCGCTCCACCAGGACCAGGAGACGGGCGCTAGAGGCAGCCAGACTTGGGTGCATGGCATTAGCGGCTGGGTTTCACTGGGGTGAATGAAGTGAGCGACAGCAGGCTGAGCGCCTCATGGACTCTCCTGCCCTGGTCCTGGAGAGGCTGTGACGCCGCGTGGACTTGCACAGAGGCACCCCCCCGTCCTGCCCACGGCAGCGCAGATCTGAGCGGCGGCAGGGCCCAGCAGCCAGCGGCCTGAGCTCACTGGTGCTCCCTAGCATCGTGCTCGAAGTGCACTCGGCTGCAGACCTAGCCACCCCGGCCCATGACACCTCGCTGTCAGAAGCATATGCCCCCCTAGCTGCAGGCATCTCTCTCGCAGGGGCCCTTTATCCAGAGCAATACGGGGGGACAGGAACATTCCTGGGGCAGACACCAGCAAAGGCAAGACCCCGGTGGAGCAGGACAGACCTGCCTCCCCTCCAGCTGCCCCTCGGCACAGAGCCAGGGAAACACGGGGCTGGAGCAGTGCGGGAGCCACTGAATTATCCACCCCCAGTCTCACTCTCCCTTGGGCAGTGCCAGTGATAGCCGGGCACGGTACCTTTCCCGAGGTGCGTGTTGATGCTCATGTATCGCGCCGTCCCCGTCAGGCTCTTGTGCTCTCGGTAGGGGATGTGTTTTTTGGTCTCGGGGTCGATGTACTCCTTGGCCAGGCCAAAGTCAATGATGTGGATGGTGTGCTGACGCTTGCTGCCTGGCCTCCCCACCAGGAAGTTCTCCGGCTTGACATCTCTGTAGATCAGGCTTTTGGTGTGAACGTACTCCATTCGCGTGATCTGTGGGGGGAGGGGCTGGCGTCAGCGGGAAGTCGTGAGCGGGCTTGCTCTGCCAGCATGGACAATGCCCGGCCTTTCACTCCAGACCTGCTGGGCCCTGTTCTGTTCTCACCCCATCTCAAGCCGAGGTAACTCTGCTAAAGCCAGCAGCCACTCTGCTTGGCTCTCAGAATCAGGCCCGGTGGATCACCACCCGCTCAGCCAGCTTCAGGCGAGGAAGGACGGTCAGGGCACTAGCTAAGCCTGTGGGGCCCGGGATCCAATTCCCTGCTTTTCCACAGCCTTCCCAAGCGACCTTGGACGAGCGGCTGTGTGCCTCAGTTCTCCACTTAACAGCCCTGCCAGGGCCAGGAGGACAAACACACACACCCTGAAGCGCTTTGGGACCTAACCATGAAAGGTGCTGCATAAGAGCTTGGCCTTATTACATTTTAAAGCCCAAGCAAGGTATTGTTTTTAGGGGTGGAGCCTTACAGACTCCAGGAAACACCTCCAGCGAACCCAGGGCCAAGCTGGCAGGTCACCAGAAGGCCACATGCTGCACCTAGTGTGCCTAAACCAGAACCAGCTGCAGCCTGCCAGGACTCTGGTTCCCATGCCATGCTCCATCCTGAGCTGGAGGCTGCCCCCATGGAGCAGTGCAGGCTGGGAGGTGTAGTCTCCGTGGACTGTAGCTCCCCACAAAGGGCAGGCAGGACCAGGTCTGTCAGACACATGGGTTCTGAGCCTGGATTTGCTGCAGACTCCTGCCAACACCTGGGATTTTTGAGCAACATGAACCTACCTCCAGTTCCCAGAGAAATAAAGTGCCACTATCCCTGGAAACTGAGGCACGGAGAGATATGACTTGCCCACGGTCGCCCAACAGGCCAGCGGTGGAACCAGGAATAAAACCCAGGCCTCCCGAGTCACGGTGCAGCGCTCTACCCACTAGGCTACACTGTCTCCAATTCAACACAGGCATCCTGTGAGGGAAGACTTCCTGAGATGGGGCTCCCCAGCAGGAGTTTCCAGTCAGCCCACCTGTCTCCTAAGGATTCCCTCCTGCTCTTGGATCCCCACAGTCGCTCCCCTCCCTCCAGAGCTGTTCGGTTTGGTGCGGAACATGCAGCCTACTGATCTCCTGCCCGGAAGCCGCCTGCCAAACCCTGACTGCACCCCCAATAAGAACGTTACACACTGGGTGCTTTTGCCTCTTTCTTCCTTCCCCCCTGCCTAAGCCCCCCACAGTACATTCTGGCTGGGCCCCTGAGGCATCTCCTCTGGGGGCAAACTGTTCACTGGGGATTGGACGGCAGGGCGTGCCATGCTTCCCAGCTGCATCGCGGGCACCATGCTTACCAACTGGATCGCTATCATCAGGACGGTTTTGAGCGTGAAGGTCCGATCGCACAGGTCAAACAGGTCTTCCAGGCTGGGTCCCAGCAGCTCCAACACCATGGCGTTGTACTTCCCACAGGGCCCAAAGTAATACACCTGAGGAATTCCTTCTGCAAGAGCGAGTGTGGAGGAGTCAGCGCCGAGCTGCAGCAGAGACGGGAAAATCCCTTCCCTCCCAGCGGCCACACCCCGGCCAGACGGCATCTAAGGCCAGACGCAGGGGGCTGGAGGAATCCAGGGCGTGGACGCTGCTGGGTAACCTCGGTACCAGGGAGATGCGGCTAGTACTGGAATAGCAGCCAATGCCGGGGGTTACCGAGGCAACAAACGCTTCCCCCCCTTCCCCGGGCAGGACATTAATTGGGAATCGTTAGCAAGGGGGAGTTTGCCCCTCCCTTGCACCCCCAGAACTACTTTGCTGCATTATTCCTGAGCAGGGTTGGGTTCTCCCCACGCTCTCACCCTGCCAGAGAGGCACAAGCTGCCCTGTTCAGGGAAGAGGGGAAGAGGCTGGTCTCAGCTGGGGGTGAAACCTGGGCCGGGATGGATGTTGGCACTCCTGGCACTCACTAGGGGCCCTCATGCCATTTTTACAAGCGGGTTAACAGGACTTGGCCCTCTGCCCCAAGGTGTCGGGGGGAAGTTTGTTTCTGTGAAAAACAGCCTGACAAGGTAGAACCAGAAAGACAGCAGCCAGGCACTGAGCAATGCACCCTGTGCATAATGACAACGCCCTGACTTCTGACCCACAGCCCCTGCTATTCCAGCCCTGACCTCCCCCCCCGCCCCCCAGCTCTGCGATGCCCCTCACTCCCAACCCACAACCAATCCCTTCTACTCCAGTGCTGGAAGACCTGGGGACGCGAGGGGTGCGGGTGGGGGGGGCGCGAACGACAAGTTCAGTTTCTGGATCCTGTGTTGCAGGGAGATGGAAGCACATCTGATGCACACTGGGTTCCTGAGGTTTGTTTTGGGGGAAGGAGATGACCCTTCCCAGTGACCCGTCTGACAATCCAAACACCATCCAGCCCTCTGGCGCTGGCCAGAAGGAGCTGGGACATGGCAAAAGGGCGTTAGCAGGATCTGAACCCCACAGGACTCCACCCATGGACCAGGAACAGAGGCTGCTGGCACTCAGTGGCCACCATTCTCCTCCTGGCTGAGACACACTTTCCCACCTTCCCCTGCACCAGGAGTCCCAGGGTCAGTCCCAGCTTGGAGGGGTGACACCCCCCACCCAGCCCCATCACCTGGGGAGCAGGACACCCTGCTCTTTGGGAGGGGGGGTGCAGGGGAAGGAGGGTCCCAGATGACCCGAGGCAGCTCAGCAGCATCCCCGACACTAGTACAGAAATGAAAACAAAGGGGATCAAAGATGAGAAGCGTATGGAAAACCTGCTTTTGTCAGCCGAGCAGATGGGCCTCAGCAGCTTAGGCTGGGGATGGAGGGCAAAGCTGCAGCGTCATGGTTACAATGAGAGCTGCGCACACACACACCCACTCCTGTCCTTCCAGGCCAGCTGGGCCCCTCCCCAGCGCTTGGCACACACAGCTGCTCCTTACCTGCATTTCCAAGCTGTTTGTAAAACCGATATTCCAGATGCAGCTGTGGGGCTCGTGATTTTATCGGTTCCTTGAGGGAAGTGAGAGAAAGAGAGAGGAGATGAGCAAATGAGGGGGCCATGCAGGGTCTCAGGAAGGGCTGCTTGCTTCAGACGCCCCGACTTCAGGCAAGGCAAATGGCTGGGGCACATTTTACAGCTCACCCAAACGTTCATTACAGAGCAGAGAAGGGGTCTGGTCTATGGGAAGTTGGCATGAAATGGAGACCAACCCTCAGGGGTGGACATCTGATCCATTGGGCAATTTTCTTAATTTACAGGAAATGAAACGAAACCATAGAATGACACAGGGGAGAGAACGTAGGTCCCTGCGTGAGAGAGAATGGACATGGCAGGAAATCATCCCAACGAGGGACCAGCATCACCACAAAGCAGAAGGCCTCAGTTACGCGAAAGCCAGGGTGGTGCAAAGGGGCCGTGGTTAATGGAGACTCCAGGCTGGAGATGATGATCTCTCTCCTCCGACTTTGTTTCTGCTCAGTCACTTTTGGGGCAGGGAGGGAGGGGAAAGGCTGGAGAATCTGTACCTTGGCAATCCCACTCACTTCTGGCACCATGGGCCAAGAGGCAGAATAACTAAGCAGGAAACCTGCCCCTGGGACCCTCCTTCCAACAGAATCTCTTTTAGCACCAGGAACCTCAGGGATGCTGTATTCTGTCCAGCCTTTCATTTAAGGCCTCTCTGGGATACATCTGGCTCACGCTGGGCACGCGACTGGTCTGTGGCAAACTGCGCCGTACAGTCGCTTCCTTCCCAAAGCCCTGAGCTGAGTGGCAAGTCCACGTGGCTGCTCGAAGCCAGTGTGTTCGATGCCCAAACGGTTTTATTGCAATGCACTCCCCAAAGTGGGGGCCGGGCACATGGGGATTTGCCACCGGACAGCTCGGGCACATGGGGTGAGAGTTCCTAAAACCCTCGGGGTCAGCTGGTGCTTTGGGGAGTTTCACCAGCAGTTGCCTCGGGAGGAGAATTAGGTCAATGCCCCATGCTTTAGCCATCCCCTCCGGGGAACCCTGGAAGTGCCACGCAGAGAGAGCACAGCCAATTACACCGGACGAGGGGGAAGGCTCAGATTAGGATGCAGTGAGGGGCAATGTCTGTGCAGCTAGGACTGCACCGGCTCAGAGGCTGGAGCGCCTCACACAGGAGCAGTTCCATGAGCTCCGCAAACAGGTGGGGTTTTCATCCCCCACCCCAGTCTCCCACTCACTCACAAACCTGAGCTACAAAGGGACACTTGAGTTACTGCTGCTGAGTGGAAGGCTCTGCCATGCCAGGTTTCTCTACCCTTCTCGGCACATCTACCCCACGATACCAGTTCTGGGGTATGTGGACTTGGGCCCATTCCCCCCGCCCTTCCTGGCCTGCACTCCAGATACAGGCTGGCACCAGCCCCAACAGTGGAGTGCTGCTCCAAGCAGAGAAATGCAGCTTCCACAGGTGAGTTTGTTAGACACCTTGTGATGGGAGGAGACTGCAGGAAGGGAGACAGCAACAGGCTGCCTGCTCCCTCTGCTGCTACGCCAATGCAAGGGGAGGCTGAGCAGGAGGTGGCCTTGTCCCAGATGGCATGGCAAGAAATGCAGTGCTGGTAAAAGGTGCTGATGGGAACCTAGGAGAGGATACTGAAGCTCTCTGGGTGTGTCTCATCCTGACCTTTCACTCTTGGTCTCTCTGCTGAGACTCCCTGTTGGTACCAATTGTAGAGATGGCTAGTGTATAGTGGACAGACACTAGGAAAGTTCTGGAGTTGCCATGTTCAAGCTGATCCCGACTCAGAGCCACATGCTTCTCACACCCAAACCTCACGGCTTGGTAACTGCATTAATTGCTTTGCATGCACTAGGTTCTCAACCATCACTTAACGCATCTTACATAGCCTCTATGTAACAACTGGCTCAGCTAGAGCTGTTTTAACTGATTAGTCAAAGGCCAGGCTCTGAAACACTAGCTAATCTGGACAGCACAGTGAGAGGGAAGGAAAAGAAACTTACCAATTTTATAGCTACATATTCATTCGTGTAGAGATTCTTTCCTGTAGAAAGAGATGAGAGAAATAACATTGGGAGTGAGTGAAACTTACAAACAACTCCCATGTGTCAAACACAGGAGGCTGGGAACAAGCCAAATTCTCTAGCAAGCTCTTATTTTTAAAAGCAACCCCAGCGGGTCAGGTGGTTGACAGAGCAAGTGAACGGGGAGATCTTTGTTCCCTCGGCCCGTAACAAGGAACTGTCTCTGTACAGTTAGTGACAGGGCATGCTGCAGTTCTTTATCCCGAAGGCAGAGCACTCGGATTCACTTGCTATTTGGAAGCTACATGTTTTTCAGGTGACCAGTAAGGCGCTGGGAACTGAGAGGGCCCCATGTCCAATGTTCTCTCGGGATGGAAGCAATGCATGCTGGGACCTGTAGTCTTTCCAGGCCACATCTCTCCAACAAGTACGTGAAGGTACTTTCAATCTACTGCATTTCATGGAAGTTGGCGGGGTCCCCAGCAAGTTATCAAGGTGCCCTGCGCAGCTGACAAAGTCTGGGCATGGCCGTTAGCTCACCGGGAACTAGCGACGCGCGACTGCAAACATCTGCAGCAGGGAGGGAGGGGGGTTTCCTGCTCCTCCAGCAGCAGAGGGTCTTGTACAATAGCAGATGAGCTTTGGCCTGACCTCACATCTCTGTCTCAAAATGGGACACAAGCCCCAAAGCCAGGACACCGCAAACAGCAGCCCAAGATGAGAACGGAGCAGGGCATCTTCCTTAAAGCACTTCTGCTGCTCTGTGTTTGTACAGCACCTTGCACAACAGGGCCCTCAGGCACTGCTGTAATTACCACATTACTACTACTAATGAACCATCGCTTCTCTGGAGCCCCGGGAGCCAGTGGGAGCAGAATGGCTACTTGCTATGGTAACGGAGCTCCTCTGGGGAGACAGCCTGCACAGACCCACACTGCAGGTGCACCCACACACGAGCTTGGAGCCCCATGGGGCTACCCCCGGCTTCATTCCCACCCCAGGATACTCCGAGGGGCATGGGAACAAAGGGACTGCTAGGCTCTGCAGAACTCTGGCTTGCTGCCTGCGGCAGTCAGCACAAAACAAGCAGCAATTGGGATGTCCGCCCTTAGATAGCCCCAGGGCAAGGTTCCCCAAGAGACCGCTCCATTTAGAAAATCCAAGCACAATAGCCTCCCTTATGGCCAAGCCATTGGGGATGGAAACGGGCACCTCCAGAACGGAACGCAGGAGTCTCTGCACCTGCAGCTAAAAAGCTGGACTCCATAGCTGGTGCTGTAACAGACCCGTACCCTCTGTGTACTGGGGACATGTAATACACTGAGCAGTGGGTCTCACAAGTTTACATGCAGCCCCTGCGAGGCAGATCCCGAGACCTCAGAGAGCATAAGGGAGCTCCTTTGAACACCCCAGTCCCTTTATTTACCTCAAGGCTCCAGTTACACCAGAGGATTAGTTTTTGCTTGATGTTACACTAAGGATGGCCAACCCCCCCAGGGGTCTGTCTAGTCCCATCGCACTGGGGTCTTTTCCTGGTTTGTAACATCTGACAGCAAACAACCTTCACTGAGCCACAGCCTCCCCCTCCCATGCCTCAAAGGAACAACACCCTAGGGAGGGAGCAGTTCTCCTGCTGCCGCCGCCTCTAGGACTGAGCTGGATTTGATTGCAAATCTCAGGGAGCAGTAAGGGCATGACCCTAGTCTCCCCACATCAATACAGGGCCCTTACAGAGCCCCGAGACGGTGCCCAATGGTAGATAATGCACAAAATGGATTTAGTTACAATTCCAACGCGAGCAACCAAGTGGCTAGAGCACAGGATTCCTGGGCTCCATTCCAGCCTGACCCATTTGTGTCACCTCAGGCAAGTCACTTTTCCTGCTTCGTGCCTCAGTTTCCCCATCCATACAATGGAGATAACAATTCTTCAGTCTCAAACAGCTCCTTTCATCCATAAATCTCAAGTAATAATGTTTTCATCCCGCAGAGGAGGAGGAAGGGTGAATCAGCGATGGCTTGTGATGTACTCAGAGATGGAAAGCTAAGATATGGGAAACTTGCCTGCTGGCCTACAGCTGGGGAAGGGGATGCTGCACAGCTGGGGCTGCTGGTGGAACCTTCACCATCAACAGGACTTGGAAATTCATTTATTTGAAGGGCGGCAGATTCTCAGTCCAAGTTCTAGATTTGCTACAGTTCTGATGGCGAAATTTCCTCTGTTTTTCCTGAATGGGGGTCAGGGATGTTCACACACATCACTCCCAAGCCCTGGCACTGATCTGGTTTATAACAACTGTAGTGCGGCATAATGCTCATGTGTGACCAGCCTAGCAGGCTCTGCCCGTTTCCAGGCTGCTCAAAAGGAGTTCTCACACTGCCCTGGCTTGGGACAATTCGGAGTCACACTGCCCCTGAAGGAGGCAGAACTCCTCACCTGCTACTAGCATCCTCCCCACAGCTCTGTGTGGTCCCAGGCCATGGCCTACCTCCTTCCCACCTCAGCTGGGGTGTCTGGTACCCTAAAGGTTGTAAGGAGGAAGCAATCCCTGTTGTCCAGAGATCTCCCTCTCAGGGTGCACTGTTATTTACATCACTCAGTTATCTGTAACAGCTGGACACAGAATGCTGGGTGCCCTCTATCTCAGCCCAACCCACGCCCCATGAAGCATGGATGACAGACCCGTACGTGACCTTGACCTCCCCAGGGCAGACACGCAGTTAGGCGTCTCCTGGCTAGTAACCATCAGAGCAAGAGGGAAGTTGTCAATAAACAACGTCTTTATTGAGCGAGAGAAGGGACAGATGGGAACACACAGCAGCGCGGACCCTTGCGCTGCCTACGGCAACAGGGAGTAGCAATATTCACACATGACTAGCCGCAGCCAAGGGTTTCCCAAGTGACTAGTGATTTTAGCAAAAACAGGAGGACTTGTGGCACCTTAGAGACTCACAAATTTATCCGAGCACAAGCTTTCGTCAGCTACAGCTCACTTCATCGGATGCATGCAGTGGAAAATACAGTGGGGAGATTTATATACACAGAGAACATGAAACAATGGGTGTTACCATACACACTGTAACGAGAGTGATCAGGTAAGGTGAACTATTACCAGCAGGAGAGGAGAAAAAAAAAACCTTTTGTAGCGATAATCAAGGTGGGCCATTTCCAGCAGTTGACAAGAACGTGTGAGGAACGGGGGGGGGGGGGGGGGAAATAAACATGCGGAAATAGTTATACTTTGTGGAAGAACACATCCACTCCCAGTCTTTATTCAAGCCTAATTTAATGGTGTCCAGTTTGCAAATTACTTCCAATTCAGCAGTCTCTCATTGGAGTCTGTTTTTGAAGGTTTTTTGTTGAAGAATTGTGACTTTTAGGTCTGTAATCGAGTGACCAGAGAGACTGAAGTGTTCTCCGACTGGTTTTTGAATGTTATAATTCTTGACGTCTGATTTGTGTCCACTTATTCTTTTACATAGAGACCGTCCGGTCTGGCCAATGTACATGGCAGAGGGGCATTGCTGGCACATGATGGCATACATCACATTGGTAGATGTGCAGGTGAACGAGCCTCTGATAGTGTGGCTGATGTAATTAGGCCCTATGATGGTGTCCCCTGAATAGATATGTGGACACAGTTGGCAACGGGCTTTGTTGCAAGGATAGGTTCCTGGGTTACACAGTAACAGCCGTGTTAGTCTGTATTTGCAAAAAGAAAAGGAGTACCTGTGGCACCTTAGAGACTAACCAATTTGAGCATAAGCTTTCGTGAGCTACAGCTCACTTCATCGGATGCTGTAGCTCACGAAAGCTTATGCTCAAATAAATTGGTTAGTCTCTAAGGTGCCACAAGTACTCCTTTTCTTTTTTTCTCCTTACAATGTGTATGATAATCAATTTGGGCCATTTCCAGCCCAAATCCAGGTTCTCTCACACACACACACCCCACCACACACACAAACCAACTCTCCTGTTGGTAATAGCTTATCTAAAGTGACCACTCTCCTTACAATGTGTATGATAATCAAGGTGGGCCATTTCCAGCACAAATCCAGGGTTTAACAAGAACGTCGGGGGGGGGGGGGGGGGGAGGAAAAACAAGGGGAAATAGGTTACCTTGCATAATGACTTAGCCACTCCCAGTCTCTATTCAAGCCTAAGTTAATTGTATCCAATTTGCAAATGAATTCCAATTCAGCAGTTTCTTGCTGGAGTCTGGATTTGAAGCTTTTTGTTGAAGAATTGCAACTTTCATGTCTGTAATCGCATGACCAGAGAGATTGAAGTGTTCTCCGACTGGTTTATGAATGTTATAATTCTTGACATCTGATTTGTGTCCATTTATTCTTTTACGTAGAGACTGTCTAGTTTGACCAATGTACATGGCAGAGGGGCATTGCTGGTACATGATGTCGTATATCACATTAGTGGATGTGCAGGTGAACGAGCCTCTGATAGTGTGGCTGATGTGATTAGGCCCTGTGATGGTGTCCCCTGAATAGATATGTGGGCACAGTTGGCAACGGGCTTTGTTGCAAGGATAGGTTCCTGGGTTAGTGGTTCTGTTGTGTGGTATGTGGTTGCTGGTGAGTATTTGCTTCAGGTTGGGGGGCTGTCTGTAGGCAAGGACTGGCCTGTCTCCCAGGATTTGTGAGAGTGTTGGGTCATCCTTCAGGATAGGTTGTAGATCCTTAATAATGCGTTGGAGGGGTTTTAGTTGGGGCTGAAGGTGACGGCTAGTGGCGTTCTGTTATTTTCTTTGTTAGGCCTGTCCTGTAGTAGGTGACTTCTGGGAACTCTTCTGGCTCTGTCAATCTGTTTCTTCACTTCCGCAGGTGGGTACTGTAGTTGTAAGAATGCTTGACAGAGATCTTGTAGGTGTTTGTCTTTGTCTGAGGGGTTGGAGCAAATGCAATTGTATCGCAGAGCTTGGCTGTAGACAATGGATCGTGTGTATAAAAGATCTTCTACACTTTCCACAGTATGCATCCGATGAAGTGAGCTGTAGCTCACGAAA